TATTATTTTTGCGATAATACGTGGTTATTGTACCAGGTCTTGGTTTCGACTAGGAAAAAAGCCCCAAAATGTGTGCCTTGTTAGTTATATCTCTAACCCTGCCCCCTCCTCCTCCTACCAGAATGAGGAACAAGACTAGACACATAGTAAAGTTAAGAGTGAATATACATACAACATGATGTTTAGTTTGATGTGTGCTGTTTATTGAAACAATATATAAAACCATTACCAAAAACATAATATGGACCACAATTACTATTTTAATGGTTAATTAGCTGTTATTTGTTCTTGTATATAAACCCTGTTCTGTATATTATTTTCATCATCATTTGCTTGAAAACGTTGAGAGAAATGTCGCTTTAATTAAAATAGTAATTGTGTTTCATATCATGATTTTGTGTTTATTACATTGTCAATTACTAAATGCCGCTCAAAGAAGAAAATTAACCCTATTAACAAAAGCTGCCAAATTTCCGATTGTGATGCTGCGGTGCTAACGACACGAGTGGCTGGTTCTATGACCGTGACTTTCTTTTATTTACGTCCAGAGAAAACTTTTGTACTACAAAGTAAAATATTGGACTAACGGATCTACCTTGAACAACACTGTCCAGCCAGACATTAGACGTCACGGTACCTGGATCTCAGTGTATAAGCTTCAAAATATTTAGGAATGCGGTTGTCAAAGGGTTAATAAAAAATTCAGTGTATCTTAAAAAATTAGCATCATCTCCATAGGTTGTTTATAAATTTCCGCTTGCTATCCATACTGATTACATTTTACTGCCTTTAAATAAATTATAATTATATGTATGATTGAGACTAGATTGTATATTTTTAATCACTGCTCCATAGATGTGAAATATAATGTATGTTAGATTATATGATTGTTTCTCAGGAAATGACATCACCATGATGTAGGACTATACTCTCATTACAGATAGTTGTTTAATTATAAATGACATCACCATGGTGTGGGACTAGACTCTCATTACAGATGGTTGTTTAACTATATATGACATCACCATGGTGATGGGACTATACTCCCATTACAGATGGTTGTTTTACTGTATATGACATCACCATGGTGTGGGACTATACCCTCATTACAGATGGTTGTTTAACTATATATGACATCACCATGGTGATGGGACTATACCCTCATTACAGATGGTTGTTTTACTGTATATGACATTACCATGGTGATGAGACTATACCCTCATTACAGACCATGGAACTCTACTCTCATTCTATTAATAATGGCGATTGAAGAAATAAGGGCACATTCCGATTGTTGTATTATGTTTTTAAAATTATTTTTAAAATTTATTAAAGATTAATACTAAGATTAAATATTATTTGTCAGGAGTGATTTGTGATTTTGCTTATTTTTTTATAGTCGCAAATATGTACATTACTTGATTTGTAGTAGGTCATGTTATAATTACTGTACATTAAAAAGTCATTACATATAGAGAGAAATAGGGTTTAATGTCCACTCAACACAAACTAGGTTATTTCGGGACTAACGTATGGTACATCTTTTGTTTTAATAATTTGCCTGTACATAGGGATCTTTAGCAGTGAGAGGAAATCTAAAAACCCAAAGAAAACCCATCTTGTTCGACAGACACCCCTTCTCCTTGTTATGTGCAAGCCTGCGGCAAAACCAGATGCTAGTCGACCCCCAGGTCACCCAATTTACCTGAAGTGAATAGAGGTTTCTTTTTACCTTAATGGTTTAGATATCTAACCCAAGGGGAATAATCTAGCTACATATAACTAGTAAATAAAATAAATGTGGGAATAATCTTATGTTTATTGCACTCACAAGCAACGTTACTGCTAATCACTTTCTGGTTACGGTATAAGGGCAAAATTTCCTGTAGTTTCCATATAAGTATTCCTTTAAAATTACAATTATTTTGTAGTAGACTATCACCCGAAGATTTCCCTGTAATGAAAATTAGTGGTTAATAAAATGTTGTATGTGCAATCGCACAACCCAAGGGGAATCATCCCCGGGGAGTATAGTGATCTCCAGTGCTTGGGCCATCGTGATTTGCCCGTATGTCTTTTATGTGTAGGCCACGGTAGGCCTTCATGTGATATGAGAAATGTTATATTTGCCCCTATGTCTTTTATGTGTAGGCCACTGTAGGCTTTCATGTGATATGAGAAATGTTATATTTGTTAACTTGTGTCTATTATAAATATGTGTACTTAAGGTCTACTTTTCTACAGACTGGTTCCAGGACAATCAACTCCAGTTTTAATCCAATTTCATATGCTTGTTTCTAAGACTCAAGGTAAAAATATGTAACTAGGAGTTATTTTTCACACATCGACCCAGTTGAATAAATGTTTTAAAGCTATTTTTAGGTGTGGGTTACAAATTTGAGTAAATCTGAAGTTAAATAAAAAGAATGGTGTATGATCCTTGGACCCAATCTCAATCCCAGAGATAAGTTTACCATTCGTTTATCTCTGGTAAAACTCACCAGCCATTTTGAAATCAGCAGCATTTCATTCTAACAAATCCTGCCAATCAGTAGTCACTAGGGGCGGAGCTAAGGAACAAAGGGTAAAGTTATCTCTGAGATTGAGATTGTCTTGGACCATATTATATATATAATAGCTATAGTTATACTAGAAATTATTGTAATTTATCCTGATATGTAGATATAATATATGTATTGATTTGATTGATATAGAATAGTTTATATTTTCTTACACATCTAACAACTTATCCTGTGTTCTGGGTATTAACTTATACAAACTATTGACACTTTTTAATAAATTTTATTTATCTCTTTGATGTGTTAGCTGCTTGTAATATTAGTATATAAAATACACATCCTTTGATGTTGGCGTACCATTAGTTGCAATAATGTACGGGCAACTTGCCAATTGCACATTAACTATACTAGGTGAAATATTGGACCCGTGTGACGTATTTCATTGAAAAGCACGTGCGGAATAGTGTCTGTATTTTAAGTTGTTTAGTGGTCTCGAGCTAAAGACATTGTGTAATATATTGAAACAACACTCGGCTAACGCCTCTATGCAGTATCAATATATTACTTAATGTCTCGCTCTCGACCATTAAACCATAAATAATTAGTGATAAAATCTCAGAATGACAGAAAATGTGGGGATCATGGTTAAATGTCTCCATTTAAGCTTGCACGTGACTTTAAAGTCCAATAAATGGGTTACTGAATTGTATGTTCCTGTTGACTAGTTATGACAGGTGTTATGCAGAAGGTGGGGTATACTGGATTAATTCAAGAGCACCTGATGCCACTAGTAATTAAAGGAATTCACACAGCTCACAAATCCTTTTTGTACTTTTTTTTCTCTTCTTCCAATTATAGATGGAACCTTTTCAAGTTTTCACTTTTAAAATGACCTGCATATTATTTTTTATCTGTTATTCTGACGAGATTAATCAAAATAAGGTCACACCAAATAATTTCTTGTTTCTTAGACAACTGAAAATGTAGAAGGGAGGGTGGTTTCTTTTTTTGTTTTCACTTCATTGCTGGCTAGAGGATGGTGCAAAGTAAAATTTCGTTATTGCTGAAAATTGTATGGGCGGGAGGGTGTTCGTTTTTTCACAGAACATTACAGAAATAGTTCACTTGTGTACGTTTTGGTTTCATTTATTGTACATACTTAAAAACATAAACTCCAGATTCAAGTCTACTCAAGCAAAGACATGACGATCAAAGAGTGGTACATATTATGCGGTAAATTGTAGACTTATTATGTATATGTAAACGCCGTAAAAGTCGCCTATGTAGCTAAGTAAATCTTGATTTACGTGCGAGACCACGATTTTCGTTAAGCATGCACATAATAGTGGGTAATGGACTTCAGCTAGAAATATTTCTTATGTAGCATATCGTGTTACGAATGATATTTATGATTAGAAGAAAAAACAAAAAAATTGGTGGGCCTCTCTATTTTTCATATTTAATTCCCGTACCGACTTCCAAGTTCACGTCAAAAATATTCCTCAGTAATTACCTGCCTTCGTTTGTACTATAGAAATCGAAATGTTCGTGATAACAATAGTTCATGTTATCTAAGCATCGTTTTCTTCTTTATAAAGTCGTATTTTAAAATAATCATTCGTAAAAAAAAAATATGCATGGCCTACTTCAGCGTGTTATAATGTATTGGTGTACGTGACCTTTTACAGCTATTTCGCGCCAAAATTAACCATTTTACTAGTTTCGTAGTAGCTTTGCCTTATATGGTAGGCGACGAATTCCGTGCGACAGCGAGTTCTTGTGACAATGCCACTGTAGATGGGATTTTCTGAATGGAATTTTAAAAGACAACCGTAGTTTCAATACGGAAAATAAGTTTGAATGTGCAGGAATTTGTATGAATACATATTGCGTATATGTTATGGGGGAATATTTTGTTGTCGATGAATGGAAAATGGTTTAAATATTATGTAATGACAAATTGGTTTCCCAAGTTGGACCACGTGGCAATTCTTACGAAATAAAAGGGTTACAGATAAAAACCAGCGCTCACAGGTGAGTCAACGTCGTAACGTGCATACTTGGTAGGAGACTGAGTATTTTGAACGTTATAATTACTGTCCATTGATTAAAATGTCCGAAAATAGAGAAACCACGAAGTAATCGCGTAAATTAAGTAGGCACAAGCGGCATATTTTTTTAACTTACGTATCGATGGTTGGGCGTTGTGTATTATTTTTCATCAAGACCAATAAAACGACTGCACGGGCAACAGGGTCCTAACTTGCTCATAGCAACGAGGGGGGGGGGGCGGAAAGTGTTCTCAGGGGTGCTGTAAAATTGACGGACAACGTAACCATTTTTGAGGGCGGCGGGTGGTGCCCGAGAAACAACTTATTTTATTTGTGTTGCAAGGTCAAAGGGTAGATATAGAATTCATATCTTGTATCTGTTGAGATAAGGAGGGACTGAAAACAGCAGTGTCTTGTTTGTGTAAGAGACAGTATGACAGAGAAGGCTGTGGATGATGTTATACGATTGTTTAATTTATACGGTGAAACAAATTATTTAGGTGAATCAGTGAGTAAAACACAACATATGATACAATGTGCTAAATTAGCTGAACAACACATGAATAATCTTCAGGTAGGTCAATATCAAAATCTTTCACACTGTCACACAATAACCTACAGCATATACAGGCCTAACCAGCAATGCTCTTCGTTTCTCATTAAATGCTTTTCAAATTTTGAATACATTTGCCAAAAAGTTAATGAGTCACAAACATTTACTATTCAATAATTTCAGACTAAATGGAATCCTGCTATATATACTATTCAAAAAAAGTAGGGGATATTTGATTTTTAAGTGTTATTAAAGTCACCTAATGAAACTGACGAAGAAACAAATGACAAAATGAAATGAAGTTCACATTCATCGATTTATTCCAAATGATCGTTAGACTAAGTAAGGCACAGACTGACCATTATAAGGGTAAATTGATACCCGGGGTCAAACAGCAAAGTTACCACAGCATCACAACCAAGTCAGTAACGGGTAAATCCTCCTCTGTTTGCCAAACAAGCATTGATCCGACGTGGCATACTCCTAATGAGACGTCTTAGGTCATTTTGGTCCAGATTGTCCCATTCCTGTTGCAACGCAGCAGCAAGTTCTTGGACGTTGGCAGGACGTTGTTGACGTTGACGTAACCTCTGTCCAAGTATGTCCCAGACATGCTCGATGGGGGAGAGGTCGGGACTCAGTGCTGGCCAAGGTAATGTGGTGATGTTCTGTTGTTGGAGGTAACCTGTAACGATCCTGGCCCTGTGACATCTTGCGTTGTCATCCTGGAAGATGAAACGGCGGCCATGACGTCGTGCGAACGGCACAACATGGACTGCCAAGATTTTGTCCCGGTAGTACTGGCCTGTAACACGCCCTGCAACAACATGTAAAGCCGTTCTTCCAGCAACAGTGATGCCTCCCCACACCATAACAGAACCACCCCCAAATCGATCATGCCTGATGACGTTAACGTCTTGGAAGCGCTCGTTTCGACGACGCCACACCCTCCTACGTCTGTCCAAAAAATCAACAGTGAACCTTGACACATCTGAAAACATCACATTGCTCCAGCGTCGATTATCCCAGTGTTGACGACCCCTACACCAACGACGTCTTGCCTGAATGTGATGATCTCTCAAACAAGGGATCACGCGAGGACGTCGGGCGCGAAGGTGACCCCTATGCAGTCGATTCCGAATCGTCTGGCCACTCACTCTCACACTAGTGTCTGTTTGAAGACGAGCGCTGATCTGATTTGCTGTGATGACACGATTTCTCAAGGCCAAGGTACAGATAAATCGATCCTGGGCTTGAGTTGTCGCCCTTGGTCGACCTGAGCGTGGTCTGTCCTGTACAGATTGTGTATCACGTATCTGGACCATAGCCTGCTTATGACAGACTGAGAAACATTCATCGTCCGCTCCACAACCGCCTGTGTTGTGCCGATCTGTAGCATGCCAAGGGCACGTAACCTTTTATTTTGGGTAAGCCGACGCATATCAAAATTTGTTTTCTGGTCACTAAAACAATTAAACTGATGTTTCCACCCTGGAATTCAATGCCACAATGACTGTAACATTCAAAGTCAGAGTCGTGCAAATCTTGGGTTGGACCCCCATGATGATCCCAAGCATCACCTGCATTCCATGCGGTAGCTATTGGTGCGTTTGGGCGTCACATGTAACTGGAAATGTTTCTTCTGTTAGGTTCTATAGTGACTTTTTCTGAGTCATTTGCATATTTTAGTATTATGCCCCCAAAATCAAATATCCCCTACTTTTTTTGAATAGTATATTACTACAGAGTACTCGTCAGTAATCAACAGACTTTTGTATTTAGCCTTTCTTTTGTACAATCTATACATCACACAATATATAAATTTTAATAAAAGTGAAATGAAATGGGTTTTAACGTCCTACTGTTCTGCTCCGAACGGAAGACGGGCGCACACCATACAGTGCTATGAGGGAAATTTTTCCCGGACTGCTGCACTATGGCCTACTCTTATATCGAATTCCAACTGTCAAGGGATATTTTATGTGCATGCCAATGTGTATACGGGATCTCGGTTTTTCGTCCCATCCAAATCACTAGACAGTTGTCCTTGCCAGGCCCTCCGTCCTGCATCACTGACAAGGGGGAATCAATCCGGAAAATCTGGATGAACTTTCTCGGCCAATGCAGGGATCGAACACCCGACCTCCGGGCTAGTGTGCCGGCGTCTTACCCACTTAGCCTAAAAGTGAAACTGCACAATATCTTTAAAGTTTTCTAAAGATTCAATTCATCAATTTTAAAATTTACAGGTGACAGTGGGTGCTTTACTTCATGATATCGGACATCTAATTGGTATTGACAAAAATACAGTATCTATGGTAACTGATGATCAAGATTTAGGTGCTAAAGATCATGATACAATAGGAGGGAATTATCTCCGTGATTTAGGTTTTCCATCTCTGGTCTGTGAGCTAGTCAGTGGACATGTTCAAGCTAAACGATATTTGGTGTATAAAGATAAACAGTACTATGAAAGTGAGTGAAATCAATAGAGGGTTAAAAAGATAGGTTGGCAGGCAATGAAACATGCCCCCACAGTCCATAAATTACGTCACATTTTTATTCTTTCATAGGTAATGAAAGCATTAGTAAAATAGTAAAATTTGATCAAGGGCAACAACCTGTGGTGTAATTGTCTTGGCCATGGGTTCCACGTCGATCGTATATGCCGGTCGGGACCGAGGGCTATGGAAAATGACCATAACTAGATCTGACCCATCGGTTATTTTGCCCGCTGGAAAAATAGCCTTTTTTTTTCAAAACACAATTTTCAACCATGGCTACGATCAACCTCCAAAACTAAAAAATTGTACGACCAGTGCAGAATAATGCGCAAGTATAGGAGCCACATAATCTCATGATTGGTGTTATAGAGTTGTATACATAGTCATCAATAGAGTGATGTGTTGGCATACAGGGAATGTGCCTCATCAGAATACATCTGCTACTGTATTATATATTATGGAATAGATTTTCCTTGGTGCATTCCTCTTGCTTTTGGCGCAGGACGGAGGGGACAAGGACAGCCGTCTTCTTGTTCTGTTAGAACGAAAAATACAAGGTCCCGTGTTCGCACTGACGTGCACGTAAAGAACCCTTGACAGTTGGAATTTGATATAAAAGTAGGCCGTAACACGGCTGTCCGGGCCAAATTTCCCTCATAGCACACTATGTCCGTCTTCATTAACCAAGTCAGTGCAGAACAGTTGGATGTTAAACCCCATTTTATTTCATTTATAATACTTTATTTCAGAGCTAAGTCCTGCTAGTAAAATGACTTTAGAACATCAAGGTGGACCAATGAGTCAACAAGAAGCAGAAAAGTTTAGCAATTCTCCATTATTTGAAGTCATACTTTCTATGAGAAGATGGGACGAATTGGCCAAAAATACCGAATCACCACTAGGATCAATAGAAGATTATAGAGAGTATCTTATTCAAGTTCTTCATTTACAATAATCTAATCTAAATTAGAACCATATTTTAAAATATACCTTCAGGATTATAGAGAGTATATTATTCAAGTTCTTCATTTACAATAATCTAAAAAGATCACTAAGTTTTAAAATATCCCTTCAGGAACTCTTAAAATGTGAGTCTGCATGTAAAAGAACCATTGACAGTTGAAATTCGATAGAAAAATATGCCTTAGCGCCACTGTCCGGCAAAAATTCCCTCGTGGCTCCCTGCATGGTGTATGCCCATCTTTATTAGCCCAGTCGATGCAGGAAAGTAGTATGTTAAACCCAATAAGGTGGGTGCATCTTCAATATACTGTATTGTGTTCACAAACTTTCATACGTTTGAACATAATTGGGGAGATAACTCTTATTACTCCATGAACAACCCCTGCAAATTGATTGAAATTGTGGACAGATTGCAGATTTAGTTGATGACAATAAAGTTCTCATTAGGACATTTAAAAAAAAAGAAATATTCTGATTATCAGCTATCTCATCATTTATAAAGGGCCGTGTGACCTGTTTTTTTTTCACATTTGTTCTTTCTGCAGTTAAAAGAGAGGGGGAGACTAATAAACACTTCCAGTTGAAATCAGAAGTTAATTATAGACTCAATTATCAAGTATGCAATCTTTCTTTTGTTTTTCATTGATGATGTTCTTGTTGTTAATATATGATATAGAACTACAACAGTTTAAATACCAAAGATGATTTATTAACAAATATTATCGAATCATAAACAACCACTAATAATGTCTATATCTTTAACTCAATCACTCATTCAGGGCTAAATACATCATTCTTACTTTAACTAGTGTAGTACTTCAGTGATTTTTCAAATTAAAACATTTTACTTTCAGTAATTATCTCTTTTCAACTCACTTGAAACAAGCCAGTGCCACCTATAACAGTTGAGGAAAATCTTTTGATAGGCCTCTTTTTAATCCCACTAAATCCAAACCCAGGAGATTATCTACCATGGTTTTATCTTCTTAATTAAATGTTAAATAATCAGAGTACATTTTAGTGTGGATTAAAGCTGTAAAAATTAGCTTTTGTCCAAAACAAAAAAAATGCAGAATCATTGATTTTAATCACAATTTCAGTAAAATACAACTTTGCTAAAGTTAAGAGTGATGCAGATAGCCCTAATTACTTCTATCTATAAGGGTCTGTTTACATGGTATAAGCTAGCCGAGACAAACAGGTTGGAGACCTCGGTTATTTTACTGCAAATATACAGACCTTTCCTTAATAAAACATGCAAATATATTATACAATGATTAAGCAACTATTACATTTGTACATATAAAGGAAATAAATTATTTTATAGTTAGATTCCTCTATTTCTAGTATCAACCATGATTAATTATATCCAGTCATTTTAGAGAATATTTAAAGGGACTATCCCGAATTGAACAGAGTCTCAAAAATAAAAATCTGAGTACGTATGATATTTAAGCGCCAAAATATAGAGGAATGGTGTATTTACCTTGTCTCAAAGTTTCAGCTCAAAATATTAAGTCGTTTGGGTGTGAACGTCAAAACTGCTTATCCCGACACGTAACGCTTTTAAGATTTCGGGTCAATTTTTTGATTGGGTGACCTGATAATTGATTCCCGTTCATTTAGAGGTCTATACAATGAATGACCCATGTGCTGTACTTGATAACGAAAGGTAAATTTCACCTACACATAGTTTTTATAAAATTAAAGCCTGGTTTTATCCAGACACCGCATAATACAAGTTGGGACACCAGTCTCCATTTCCAGATGAAGACTGACAGGTTTAAGTTGTTTGAAAATATATCAAATATATTGAGCTAGTTGCTCGGCCCTAAGGTAGAGGGTTTTAGGGATTTTAACACAAAATTAAGCAGTTTTATTCTCCAAAATATTATCGGGATTGGCCCTTTAACTAAATCAAAATTGACAGATTTTAAGCAAATGATTTTAATTATGCTGTGGTTAAATGTAAGAGCAAATTTTTAAAGATGCTCAAATGACTACTCACATCACCCCCCCCCCCTCTCTCTTGCATTATGATTGTCACAAACATCTAAGATTTTTTAAAGAAGGATGTTACGTCACTGCATATGAATTCAAAAGAAAAGTTTTTAAAATGCACCTAATTAAAATTATACAATCAGAACATTTGGTATGTATACAATCATTTGTAAAATCTTAGTTAAACATTTATAAATTAATTAGATTGCATATAATTCATTAAATACAATCAAAATAAACAATAGGAAAAAAACTTTCAAAATTCCTCGTCCTTAGATTGGGAAAATTGAAAGATAGTTTCCCCAGTTTATAGACCAAGTATAAAACTGTTTAAATTTTTTCCAGGAATGAAAACCAACTCTTTTACAAGTAACATGACATCTATTAATCATAACTGAAGCGATCTTATTAAAGAGGTAATGTCACTTTCAATAAGAATATTAATGTAATAAACTGCATATTCAAAATACCTCTAGCACTGACCTAATAAAAGCAAAGCATTTTAATAAGTGTCTTCTGGAAACCTTCATATTCACTATTGCATATTAGGAGTCAAACTCTTGAAAAGTATATTTTTTCAAATATTAAAAACAAAGTATATATTTGATCGGTAAATATTAGGACTTGTCCAGTAACCAAGTAAATATGTCCCTGTCTAGTGTATATATATATATATATGTATATTAGCACAGTTTTATATCTTCACACACATTGTTAACAAAAACTATAAAATATATGATTCAGCTACCTGATTCTAAATTACACAATACAGCTAGCTCAATAAATATATCGAATTAGCTAGTTGACTCAAAATACTGATTCATCTAACACACTCTAAAATAACTTTGAATACATGAACTAGCTAGCTGATTCTAAATACAGGACTCAGCTAGCTGATTCTGAATACAGGACTCATCTAGTTGTCTCTGAATACATGACTCAGTGAGCTGATTCTGAATACAGGACTTCGCTAGATGATTCTGAATACAGGGCTCAGCTAGCTAAATCATAATACAGGACTCTGCTAGCTGACTATAAAATATACTTTTCAGAAAGGGGAGTCAAAATACTGAATAAGCTAGCCGACTTAGATTGTTGATCCAATATAATTGATTCAACAAGCTGAACTGACCATACCCCATTCAGCTAGCTGACTCTAAACTAAAGGACTCCGGTAGCTAACACAAAATAAATGTTTCAGTTATCTGACTAAAGTATATTATTCTAAACACACCATTCATCTTGTTTACTCTCTAATTACATGACTCAGTTCTCTGACTCTAAAATATATCATTCTAAAGACACCATCCAGATTTTTGACTCTCCAAATACACGACTCAGATATTGGCCTCTCTATAAATACATGACTCAGATACCAGCCTCTCTAAATACATGATAGCTGACTCTTATGACACGATCAATAAGATGATTCAGATAGCTGAATGAAACAAACATTCTTTCTAACATACTTCATATAAAGCAAATATAATTTATCACTAACAACAGTCTTATTTGGGTTTTTTAACATCTGAATCAGAATCGGAATCTGAACTATCAGAACTTGTATCACCTGCATTTGACTGAAAATAAAATAAACATTAAAATATTTTAAATTTCTGCAAAACAAAAAATCAACTAAGGAAAGATATGAAATGAAATGAAAAGGGGTTTAACGTCCTATTGTTCTGGTCTGACTTGGCTAATGTAGATGGGCGTACATCATACAATGTGCTATGAGGGAAATTTTGCCTGGACAGCAGAGCTATGGCCTATTCTAATATTGAATTCCAACTACTAAGGGTTCTTTTATGTGAACGCCAATGTGTACATAGGACCTCGGTTTTCGTCCCTTCCAAATGACTATAGGTTGTCTCTTGCCAGGCCCTCAGTCCTGCAACACTGACAAGTACTGGGGTGGATCTAGGAATTTCAGAAAGGGGTTGGGGGGGCTTGCTGTCCCCACTTGGGAGTGCGAAGCCCGACCTTTGGTGGGCAGACTGATGGGCAATCAACCAAGTCACCAACCGGCTCGTTTCGGAGTAAATTACGATGGGGATCACTACCATTTCTAAGTATTTTTGTTTTCCGTTCCCGCAAGAATATATGGGGAAAAAATTGTTTGCCACCGCGAAAAATAGGGGTCGCGGTGGGGTGGGGCATGCACCGAGTGCCCCCCCCCCCCTGGATCCGCGCCTAAATGGGGGACCACATCAGAAAATCTCAATGAATTTTCTCGGTCAAGACAGTGCTCGGACCCAAAACCTCCAGGTTAGCGTCTTAATCACTGAGCCACCGTGGCTCCTTACAGCATATGAGTATAACCATTATACAATGATAAAAAAATGTCAGATGTTTTAAGTAAATTGGAGAGAGTGTGAGAGAGAAATGGGGTTTAACGTCCACTCGACACGGACTAGGTCATTTCGGGACTAACATGTTTTAATTTTATTTCAATAATTCACTTGTGCGCAGGGGACTTTAGCAGGGGGAGGAAACCGGAGGTCCCGGAGAAAACCCACGAGGTTGGACAGGCGACCCTACTCCTTGCCACGTACAACCGGGGATTCGAAACCACGCCAGTCGACTCAATGACAGACTTTATGATACAGCGGCATATGAGTATAACCATTTTACAATGATAAAAAATGTCAGATGTTTTAAGTAAATTGGAGAGAGTGTGAGAGAGAAATGGGGTTTAACGTCCACTCGACACAGACTAGGTCATTTCGGGACTAACATATGTTTTAATTTTATTTCAATAATTCGCTTGTGCGTAGGGGTCTTTAGCAGGGGGAGGAAACCGGAGGACCTGGAGAAAACCCACTAGGTTGAACAGGCGACACTACTCCTTGTCATGTACAACCGGGGATTTGAAACCGCACCAGTTGACTCAATGACAGCCCTTAGGATACAGTGCACGTGCTAACCATTCAACCACCCAACCCCCCTTTTAAGTAAATTGGAATCTCATATTGAAAAGTATTGGCCAAGATCTGATTTTGATCAGATTGCAGCATGCCCACAAATTTCAGTCCATTTAAAAATTTTAATAACACTGTTTTTTGTCAACTCACCTGCCAAGGTAAAAGTCTATTATTTTCTTTAAATGCTACCTCTAAACGATTAAACATTACTTCATGCATATCTTGTGGACTTAAGTTATCAGCTTCCATCTTTTTAATAATATTTAAAACAGTATCAAGATCTCCTCCTTTTACTGAAAATAAACCGACAGAAATAGGGTTTAAAAGTAAATGAAATGAAATGGGGTTTAACGTCCTACTGTTCTGCTCCTATGCTGGGCTAATGAAGACGGGCATACACCATACAGTGTGTGTATGAGGGAAATTTTGCCCGGGCAGCGGCACTATCGCCTACTCTTATATCGAATTCCAACTGCCAAGGGATCTTTTACATGCACGACAATGTGTACACGGGACCTCGGTTTTTCGTCCCATCTGAATGACTAGACAGCTGTCCTTGTCAGGCCCTTCGGATTTAAAAGTAACCAACCGACCCAATGCAGTGTAATGTAAGAGTAATATTGCCCACACAGTGGCTCTACGACCAGCTAATAATTTGAATTCCAATTGTTTTTTCGACTGATCCAGCTCTTCTGGGAGCCCATACACTATATAAAATCAACGGAAAAATTAAACCCATCTGAGATCTTTTGGATATTAACATATATTTTAAATTTCATCAAAATTGGATAAAAATTATGACCTCTAGAAAATATGGGCATATATCTGCAATACCTTGACATATTTGTCTCTAATTTTGGCATACATCTAATTGGAACATCCCCCATGTGCTATAAGGGAAATTTTGCACGGACAGTGATTCTACGAATTCCATCTGCCCACGTCTATATGGGACCCTGGTTTTTGTACCATCCAAACAACTACACACAGCCCTTAACAGGCCCTCTGCAAATGCTCCCAAGTGTTAATGCTTCTTTTAAAGAGATGGGCAAAGGGAGTTTTAGTAAAGAGGGAGAGAAATGGAGCGTAACATCCACTGGACACAAACGAGGCCATTTCGGGACTAACATATGGTTCAATTTTATTTCAATAATTTTAGCAGTGGCCGGAAATCAGAGGACCTGGAGAAAACCCACGAGGTTGGACAGGTGACCCTACTCCTTGTCACGTACAACTGGGGAATCAAACCCCCTTAGTGAAGAGGTGTCAGGCACATAAGGTGATTTGTCCCTTTTCTAACTTACCACACATATCTATATAATGACTATAAATGTAAAATAAACTTGTTTTATTGAACTGGCGTGTTATATCTATTATCCTGTCAAATATTTCCTCCTAAAAAAACAAAAATTAAAATTGCATAATACTAAAGAGAGGGAGGGAGTGGGGTTTAATGTCTACTGATACAAACTGGGTCATTTCAGGACTAACATATGGTTTATTTTTACTTCAATAAATTGCTTGCACCTAGGGGTATTTAGCAGTGGGAGGAAACTGGAGGACCTGGAGAAAACTCACGAGGTTGGACAGATGACCCTACTCCTTGACACTTACAACCGGGGAATCAACTAAAGAAGAGAGAGAAGAGAGCAGTGGGATTTAAACTCCACTCGATAAAAACTTGCTCTTTTTGGGACTTACATGATACAATTTTATTTTAATAATTTGTTTGCTTGTAGAGGTCTCTCAGAGGACCCAGAGAAAACTTATGAGATTGGACTAAAATAGAATTTTACTATGATGTTGGAGTATTGTATCAAATCCTTTCGGCCATAATTGACAAAGTAAGATTCCACACTAGCTACTATTTGTATGCTATACAATTCATGGCTTACATGACTACCTGGTACTGAATATTCACACCTGACATGACTACCTGGTACCGAGTATTCACATCTGACATGACTACCTGGTACCGAGTATTCACATCTGACATGACTACCTGGTACTGAATATTCACACCTGAAATGAATACCTGGTACCGTGTATTCACATCTGACATGACTACCTGGTACCGAGTATTCACATCTGACATGACTACCTGGTACCAAAGTATTCACATCTGACATGACTACCTGGTACTGAATATTCACACCTGAAATGAATACCTGGTACCGTGTATTCACATCTGAAATGACTACCTGGTACCGAGTATTCACATCTGACATGACTACCTGGTACCGAGTATTCACATCTGACATGACTACCTGGTACTGAATATTCACATCTGACATGACTACCTGGTACTGAATATTCACACCTGACATGACTACTTGGTACTGAATATTCACAGCTTGAATTTGTGGTAACATGCAAAATAAAATTAAGGCAAAGTAATAGGCATACTATTTCATTCCCAGAAAAACCTATAGAAATAGGATCATAATTTCATTATAAATTTTAACTGTACCTTTTTCTCAACTCTGGCTAAATTTAACATAGATTTTTTTTTTATTCCTGCTACTGATCCAGGTTCTTTCTACAAAACAAGAAAATAGCGATGTTTGGTATACTGACAGATTTTAAACGATAAAATATATAATGTTTAGAGAAAGAGAGAGAGAGAGAGAGAGAGAGAGAGAGATAGAGAGATAGGGGTTCAACTGCCACCTCCATCCAAGAAAAAATGAAAAGAATCATTTTGTGAATACATTGGTATAATTCAAGAGAGATAGAAATGAAATGGGGTTAAACGTCCTACGCTGCACCATATGCTTACTTATTATTTTATTAAACAGGGTTGGGAGTTTTAGAGTCTATGCAAATGAGCAATTCTTTAGCCGTCTCAGTTGCTCCGGTGATACAGCGATGTGCTGGTCCACCCAAGACTCATTTTGTGCTCCGGTCCCCGACAATTATATAAAGAGAACATCTGCACAATCTCACTTAAGGCCGGACACTACCTTATAAAACACTCTGTATAGATTGATCTGTCAAATTTTGATATCAGCTAAAATTGCCCAAAATAGTTAAAATTTGTTGATTTTTCAAGTCGTGTCCAGCCTTTATATTATATAGTGTTAAATATTTAGTCATTTGTATAGGTAAATCAATTTTTTAACTTTTAACTTGCTTTTTTCTGTACACAATTTTTCACCCATATCAGGTCTTAGAAAATCAAATTCTCAAAATCTATGAGAGATAATGGTCTCATCTTTGGAATACGATTAGTGCTATAGCTACTGTTTGCAATAAGGTGATTTTCAAAGTGTTTGTTATACATTTGGACATTTTATTGTACAAAATCCTTTTAGTGGTGTGTTCGGCCACACCCACTTGTTTTATGTGGGATGCATAATGTTCTTTATTAACATTCAAATAGTAAAGTTTATGCCTTATTGCACTCTTTAATGCCTATTTATGTTATTCCAAATCACAAATAGTTTGTTTCAATAAAATTGTTGAAGATTTTGATTTCCTAACATAGCCACCGTGAATATATAAAAAAATCCAATATGGCCACCATTTCCATGACAACAAATAAACATTTTGCGCTCAAATTATCAAATCTGATTTGGGACATCATATACTAATATTACACTAAATGGCAAGTTTCTGTTATCAATGTAAAATTCTTAGGTAGTGTCCTGCCTTAAGCCTGATGAGTTTGAACTGAATGAAACTAGTCGCTTCATGAGAGAAATCTAGGACAGCTACTTGCCACTCATAGATTTCTTATTTTGTTTGCTGCAGTGTGCTTGGAGGCAAACTTTGACTACTCTTTGTCAAATTCCAGCTGACAAGGGTGCTTTTATAACATGCACGCCAATTGGTACACAAGATCTAAGGAATTTGTCTCACCCGAAGAACTAGACATGGTTTCTTGTCAGGCCCTGCGTAATGCACTACTGACACGGGAAAACCATACTGAATACCTTTCTGTACCCCTTCATGACAATGGGGTTTAACGTCTTACTGTTCTGCGCTCCAACTATGCTAACGAAGACGGGCATATGCAATACAGTGTGCTATGAGGGAAATTTTGCCCAGGCAGCGGCACTATGCCCTAATCTCATATCGAATTCCAACTGCCAAGGGATCTTTTATGTGCACGCCAATGTATAATGTGTCTCTTTTTTAGTCCCATCCGAATAACTTGACAGCTGTCCTTGTCAGGCCTTCCATCCTGCACCACTGAAAAGGGGAATCCTTGTTGGAAAATCCTGATGAACTTTCTCGGCCAATGCAGGGATCGAACATGCGACCTCCTAGCTAGCGAGTCAGCGCCTTACTCACTGAGCCACTCATGACAACAAAAACAAGCCTTACCTGTAACAAGTCTTTCGCTTTATCATAATCAGAAACTATGTAATAAGCTAACAACGAATTCATTCCACTTGAAGGATTGGACAAAACAATTGATTCCACTGCAAAATTAAATATGGTTTAAACACTGATTAATTAATTAATCTCAATTAAATCACATCTTTATATAGATTCAACATGGATATAATGTTGGTCTATATTACATCAGATCTAACAACATCTTACACACAAATCTCTTCTTTTTGAAGTCTGAATTGAGTCAACGTGATTGGCTTAAAGATACATTATGGAAGATTAGATAAAGAGCTGGCAGTTGTACCTATAATAGTTCAAAACTAGATAATGTAAAAGGAATTTGGTGAAAATTTCAGTCAAATTGATCCACTCTGAACCAAGAATTTAGCGATTGAATTTTGGGCCTAGCCTCGATCATCATTACTAAAGTCGGTACAATAAAATACATAGTCTCCATTATCCATTTAATCATGAATGAGCGTCGAGTAGCAGATCGGATCCCAATCCAGTAAATATCAGGGGTTAGCGATGACATCGAGAGTTGATTATGGTCTGGATAAGTTAATTAATGTCTTATTAATAATTCTGGTAACTTTTCAGGCCTAAAAAGACCTGCAATAGGAAAATTTTGCTTTTGCATAATGCATGTTTAAGCAATTATTGCCTTAGAAAAAGCATTTGATCATTGGCTAAATAAGGAGTCCAGTCTGGTCAACTGAACACAAAGTTCAGTCAGGTCAACTGAACACAAAGTTCTAAAAGTCTTTAAGATGTAGTTAGACCTTGATGTTGACTAAACAGGCAGATCAAAGAGGTTTTGCTCCTATTTAAAGAGTAATTTACAAAAATGAAATGGGTTACAAAGTCTTACCAACCAGGCTTATGAAAATGGCCAAACAATGATGGAAATTTTGTCAGGTTACAAAGTCCAACCAACTAGGCTTATGAAAATGGCCAAACGATGGAAATTTTGTCAGGAGAGCACAGGAAACTACCTATCATCCTTATTCGTCTTTTTAAATATTCGATTTGTGATTTTACCTTTAGAAAATAAATCTGGATTGTCTTCTTTTAATTTTTTTAAGATGTTTACAGACAAATAATTATTTATATCTTCTTTATTTTTTTCTACCAATTCTTCTATTTTTGCATTTTCAGACCTAAAATATAAAAAAAACAATGAAATTTACTAGAAAACATTGGATAAACTTCAAGGCAATGAAACATATACAGCACCAGCAGCCAATTCAAGTACAATCGACATGAAACTTGGCATTCATGTCCCTTGGACAATTATGCATTGATTGACAGACTTCGATATTTAATACGTCCCAATTCCAAGATGGCGCTGATGACGCCATGCTCAGTTCCCGGGCCATGTAGTACTATCGTATTTGATACAGGAAACCAGGGTAGTCAATATTTACATGTACCAAGTGCTTAAGGCAAGTCTGGATATAAGGCAACGTATATAGCCTAAAGGATTAATGCTGTTTGAAAACCAGTGAAATGAAATGGGTTTTAATGTCCTACTGATCTGCACTGACCGGGCTAATGGAGACGGGCATACGCAACACAGTGTGCTATGAGGGAAATTTGGCCCAGATAGCGGCACTACGACCTACTTTTATATCAAATTCCAACTGACAAGGTTTCTGTTACATGCACGCCAATGTGTACATGGGACCTCAGTTTTTCATCCTGTTCGAATGACTATACATTGTTCCTTGCCAGGCCCTCTATCCTGTACCACTGACAAGGCCAAAACCTAAACTCCTGGTTAGCAAGCCAACGTCATACTCAATTTGCTTCCGCTGCTTTTGAAAAATATAGAATACAACTTACATATCTTGTAGAGTACCAAAATAAACTTTTTTAGCTGTAGTTTTAATAGCTTGTGATATGGGGTAAGATGTGTTTAAAATGGATAATAAATCGTCAACTTTCTGGTTTTGTCTCAGGTAAGTTAATACCTTATGGCCTGAAAAACACCAAACAAAACTAACCATCAATAACTTATATATCTAAGGTCTTATTTTGTTAGTAGTATCACATAGTGGTATATTGAATATCATTGTGGTCTGAAACCGTAAGTTTAAGTAGATATAAGTTGTCTCCCTTATGTTGTAGATCTTCAGCCTTTTTTGAGAAATAAAGAGATTGGAATTTCAAGATGGAGAATGGTTGTTTTCACTTTGACCTACAAGATTAGTGCAACACCCCAGGAGCCGGATATAACAGTAGTTCCACAATATTTAAGCCTGGAAATAAGGCACCAGTCACAGACAATGTCAGACACAAATTATTTCATGCTTTCATTTCAACCAGATCTTATTTCTTGAGGCTGATCCCACAACATTAAGAGAGAGAGAAATGGGGTTTAACGTCCACTCGACACAAACTAGGTCATTTTGGGTCTCACACATGGTTCAATTTTATTTCAATAATTCGCTTGCGCGTTAGGGTCTTTAGCTATGGGAGGAAACTGGAGGACCCGGAGAAAACCCACGAGGTTGGACAGGCGACCCTACTCCTTGTCAAGTACAACCCGGGAATCGAAACCCCGCCAGTTGACTCAATGACAGACCGTATGATACAGTGCGCACATGCTAACCATTCGGCCATCCAACCCCCCCGCAACATTAAGAGACTCAACAAGGGTCTTTGTGGTTGATATTAATTTTCAGACTTTACATTTGTACGGGTTGAATAAACTATGAAAGTTATTTAATAATTTGTAAACAAGTCTAACCCAGAGAGCATTCATCAGAACAATGACAAAAGAGCAGAAAACATTAACATAATAAAAACATGCATCAAAATACCTTTCTCATTTTTTCCAATTACATTCAAAACCTCAGGTAAAAATACTGCTGCATTTTCATTTTGATCAGCATCTACCCTTTATAAATAAATATAAAGATAAAATATAAATCAAATGAAATGAGGTTTAACGTCCTACTCCGACTGGGTTAATGAAGACGGGCATACAGTGTACTATCAGGGAAATTTTGCCCAGGCAGTGGTGCCAAGGGATCTTTTACAGACACGCCAATGTGTACACAGGACCTTAAGTTTCTGTCCCATCTGAACGGCTAAACGTTGTCCCTTGCCAGACCCCCTGTCCTGCACCACTGACACAGTTGTTTTGTACTTGGAGATTACCACCTATAGATTGTTTTATTAAATTTGTGCAATGGAATGAAGAATATACTTACTTTGCTTTAGCCTCCATTATTTTCTCCACATCTTCCGATTGAACTAAATCTAATACTTCAGGAAATTTGAGATCAATTTGCGTCAGTTTTCGTCTGTTATCCACTCTAGTTTCATTTCTTACATTTCCAGGTGTATTCTACAAAACAAATAAAATGAAGTACAGACCAAAGGAATGAATGAATAAAATGGGGATTAACGTCCTACTGTTCTGCTCTAACAGGGCTAATGAAGATGGGCAGATGCCATGCAGTGTGCTATGAGGGAAATTTTATGCCCAGACACAGACTGCTAGAATTTGCAAAGCTGTTGAAAAAACACCACAGAATAGTTTGATGAATGAAATAATCTCATGGTTTTCCTGTTTTTTCATTCATGTCGTGATTTTGCATACCTGGGGGTTGACACATCTGGGGTCATTCCAAGTAGAGACAGAGAGAGAGAGGGAGAGAGAGAGAGGGGGGGACAAAAATGGGGTTTAACTCCCCCACTTGACACAAACCAGGTCATTCGGGACTAACATATGGTTCAATTAGATTTGAATATCAAGCTTGCATGTAGGGGTCTTTAGCAGTAGGGGAAAACCCGAGCATTCAGAGAAACCCACAAGGATGGACAGGCGACCTTACACCTTGTCATGCACAACCAGGGAATCGAGATCATACCAATTGACTCAATGACAGACCTTATGATACAACGTGCACACGCTAACCATTCTGCCATCCACCACCGCCCTCACCTCACATCAAGTAGAAAAGAAAAACAATTACAACTTACTACAATTGCAGGCACTTCAAACGGAACATTAATGCCAGCTGTCTCACAAACTTTAGCTAAATATCGCAGTGTTTTGTCCTTTGGTACAGTATTTTCTTCTTCATACTGTACTAACACATCTAATGCTTTGTTCACTGATTTCACTTTTGCTGTTTGAAAATGAAAGAATAATGATCAATAATGGGGAGTGGAGAAAATATCATGTCAACACTGAGAAATAGGTAAGGGTTAATCTGTATGTTTGCTGTATATAAATCTAACCCAAAAATCAATTCCTACGTATCTGGATAAAAGAATAAGATTCGGATTATAACTCCTATGGCTTAAAATCTCTAGATAAGGTGTGTTAATTAACAAGGGTGAAAATTTCAATAATTCACTTTAATTGGCTTAATGGCAGACATTATGATCTAAAATGCAGGTGTTAAACCATTCAACCCAAAATAACTTATTTTTCACATGACTTTATTGTTTTTAACAAACTGAATCTGCAAGCCCAGCCCTGAAAGCAGAACGCATTAAAACGATAGCAACAATAGACAAAGTAATACGTATTCAAAAATATGTTTGGGTGGCAAATGGACCGACGGACCAATTTTTAATAGTCCCCTGCTTTCTTCGAAAGGCGGAGGACCAATAAAATAATTCGTGGATTTTCTTTTAAAAAATGGATATCAGATATTTGAAGCAATGAATTTTTGCGAGAATCGATGTTTCCTCCTGATGGATGAATGCATACAATTTTATTGAGGGGAGTGAAATATACGCACCTTGTCAGCCCCGAGTCAAGTAGTAGGTGTGTTGTGCGAAAGCAAGTCTGAAACCAGCATGAAGGTCGAACAATGCCATGTCTATGTTTTTTTTATCTTTATTCCAAAGAAATCCATTCTTGTGAATATTGTCTAGAGTTCGGATAATGGCCATATAAGAATAGGTTTGCCCTATCATTAATCAAATTAACACCACAGATTAACAGATTAGGTCCTACAAGATTAATTCCAACACTTACCATAACCACGAATGAGTCCAAATAATATTTCATCTCTCTGTTTTTTATCACTGTCTTTAGTTAGTTCTGCAAATTGTTCCAGTACATTTAACTGTAAGAATAAATATAAACTTGTAAGTGGAAATACAAAGATATATTTTAGTGAAGAAAACTTACTAAAATAGGCAATTTTGGAAGTGCCTTCATTATACGTTCAAAATATCTTGCCTTTGTTTACAACAGCCTGCCTGGTTGGTCAGTTTTCATCAATTGCCTATTTATCAGCCAATAGGAAATCGTATCAAATAATATGTGAGCAAGCTGATAATACCAGCTGGATGACAGACGAATGAAAACTAGGAGCCAGTCTTACTGGCTCGCTTCGTTAAAAAGTTAATAGTCAACTACTTTCTCTGAAAGGTGACGGACAATTACATAACTGACGGACTCCATTATTGCAATAATATCTTAGAAAATAGAAACATACCTTATCATAAAATATAAACAAATCACAAACTTGAGGAGCTAATTGACGATTTGAAGACTGAAAAAGATAAAAGTTTTCTTCAATCAAATCTTGTTTTGGAAGAGCAAAAGCTAGTTTTCAAAATCCACTCAGAACAACTAGCTCATTTTTTTTTATGGAAATCCAAGAAAACCTCCAAAGACTTAACAACACCATTTATTGCCACAATTAATAGCAGGGTCGAAACCAGATCTTTTACCATGTTCTGTCCCTAAAGTACGAACATTTCCCATATGAACAAAGTCTAAAATCAACATCTGCCGTTAGAAATTGTAAACATAACCGTTTTCACCAGTAGAACGGAAGTGACAACATTAGCCGTTTCAGCCATTGATCTGACGGACTAACAATACATAAGTATTGCGACATACTGATACATTTAAAAATATTGGAGCATAACGTTTATTTTAATATATTGTTGCAGACGTAATCATTTTAATTCAATACCTCAAATATTTTCAAAGCCTTTTTAGGATGTCCATGAATCATAAAGTTAACAACAAGGTTTGATAAAATGGTGTCTTCTGTAAAAACTGGTACCGCCATGTCTATAACTAAAATACAAATATTAAATATATAAGCATTGGGGTATTTGATCAAAACAGCAAGTAATTGGCATATTTAATACTATTTTTATTTACAATATCTGAATATTCCAACTCCTTATTTGAATACCAATCAAATATTTGATTCAATGGAAATAATCACTTAATTGAAAATGATCTGTTTTTAAACAAATGGAAATGATCTGTTTTTGAAATATATCTATCACTTGTAACTGCAATTCAAGTACATTTTCACAGAAATACAATCTACCAATTTCCAAATGTTTTTGGTTGCCTTAGCTATAGTAGCAACTGACAGCCATGATTATCAAATCACTCAAACTTGATAGGAGTTTTACATAGGCTAAGCCTGTTCCCCAATCCCAGTCAGTCATCCTGAATAAAATTATTGTTAACAAAAAAATAAGTCACTCAAACAACTAAATATTGGAATTTCTTAAATGAGTTACATTATCACATTTGTTACCTATTATACTATATGCGTGTAATAGAGAGAGAGACAGAAATGGGGTTTAACGTCCACTCGACACAAACTAGGTCATTTTGGGACTAACATATGGTTTAATTTTATTTCAATAATTCGCTTGCGCGTAGGGGTCTTTAGCAGTGGGAGGAAACCGGAGAACCTGGAGAAAACCCACGAGGTTGGACAGGCGACCCTACTCCTTGTCACGTACAACCGGGGAATCAAAACCACGCCAGTTGACTCAATGACAGACTTTATGATACAGCGTGCACACGCTAACCATTCAGCCATCCAACCCCCCACGCGTGTGATAACCTTAATAATAGTATAGGAAGTAACATCATGCCACTGCCTCCATTGTAGATTGTACATGCCCATCTCATCATTGTACATGCCCATCTCATCATGTAAATGCCCATCTCATCATTGTACATGCCCATCTCATCATTTTCCTATATGAAGTCCAGTAATAATCACCTGATCTGATCAACTACTGTCTTCATAGTCATCATTATAACAACATTACACAAATCTAGTGACCACTTCCAAACAGCTCAATATTTTGAGTTGAAACTTTCAGACAAGCTACATGGGCTATTTCTTCACAATCTGGAGGTTACTTTGTATACTTAAACCCACTTTTATCAATACAGGATTTCCCCCTTTAAATAATATATTACCTTTCTGTAGCTGATCTGGTTGTTCAGATTTAACAAATCTTGCAATAAAATGATTTATGTCAAAATTATTGCTATACTTTGTTATCATTTCTTCTAACAATTCAAAAACATCATCATCACTTTGTCTATAAAATACAACATTACAAAATTCTATTTTTTGTTTCGATAAATGGTAATTATTGTTTGTGATATAGACAAATTCCGTGAATACTGTTTGTAATGTAGGCGAATATTAAACTATAACACATACATATTTTTATTTGAGTGAAGTTTTGAAGAGATTATCTCAATGTTATCAAGCTAATAAATATACAGTACATGGTAACTACTGTTTGTGATATAGACAAATTCCGTGAATACTGTTTGTAATGTAGGTGAATATTGTTAGTAATATAGGTGATATTGGTGAATACTGTTTGTGATATAGGTGATATTGGTGAATACTGTTTGTGATATAGGTGATGTTGGTGAACGGGTGAACACTGTTTGTGGTATACCTAAATACTGTTGGTTAAAATGGTTTGAAAGCCTTATAGTGTGCAAGAAAATCAACCATTTGATCAGATATGTTAAACAGATTGCAGCACATGACATAAAGGGTGTGTGTGTGTCTAAACTAGAGTTGTCCTCCACAGACAATATCAAGGTCATACTCAATCTGATTAAGGCAGGACACTACCTAAGAATTTTACATTGATAACAGAAACTTGCCATTTAGTGTAATATTAGTATATGATGTCCCAATTCAGATTTGATAATTTGAGCGCAAAATGTTTATTTGTTGTCATGGAAATGGTGGCCATATTGGATTTTTTTTATATATTCACGGTGGCTATGTTAGGAAATCAAAATCTTCACCAATTTTATTGAAACAAACTATTTGTGATTTTGAATAACATATATAGGCATTAAAGAGTGCAATAAGGCATAAATTTTACTATTTGAATGTTAATTAAGAACATTATGCATCCCACATAAAACAAGTGGGTGTGGCCGAACACACCACTAAAAAGATTTTGTACAATAAAATGTCCAAATGTATAACAAACACTTTGAAAATCGTATTCCAAAGATGAGACCATTATCTCTCATAGATTTTGAGAATTTGATTTTCTAAGACCTGATATGGGTGTTGTATAAGGTAGTGTCCTGCCTTAAAACACAGATCTTATTTCGTTTTGTTTTCTGTAGTTCAAAATTTTGTTTTACTTGTCTTTACCATAGATATCAACGCTGATCGGTTAATCTAATGTCAAAGGTCACTCGTATGACCTATGACGCGATCTTCCACGACAACCGGTCAGATCTTCATGAAATAGAGGCCATCAAAAGTATAGAAAAAAAGCGAAACAAAATATAGATCTGTATTTTAATCAGATTGGGTCATACATGTCTTGAAATGAAATGAATATGTTACCTTGACGATGGGAAGATGTTAGTTTAACAACATTATACTTACGTGTCTAGATCAACCATATCATATTTATGTGCATCGTAAAATCTATTTTCGTTGATGAAACCACATGATAACAATGTCTTTAATATTTCATCAACTGACTCGGGACACTTCCTTGAAGCTTCATTTTTTACATATCGACACCTGTATGCTAAATTGTTATTTGTACTATCAAATCCTCTCTGTTTCAGGTAAGATGAATGTCGTGATGCGTAATTCTTTAACAAATCAATAGCCTCTGTAATACAATAAATGAAATGGGGTTTTAACATCCTACTTTTCTGCTCCGACTGGGCTAATGAAGACAGGCATACATCATGCCTACTCTTATTTAGAATTCTTGCTGTGAAGGGTTCTTTTACGTGCACGCAAATGTGTAGGTCTACAGAGGACCCATCTGAATGACTCTACTTTGTCCCTTGCCAGGCCCTCCTTCCTACATCACTGACAAGAGGGGACCATGCCGTAAGTCCTGATCTTGACCAACACCGAGTTTGAACACAGGGCCTCCAAGTTAGAGAACCAACGTCTTACAGAGCCACTGCGGCTTCCATAAATGAAATGAAATGGATTGAATAAAGACATACTATGAGGTGAATTTTGTACCGATAGCTGTGCTACCGCCTAATGTTATTTCGGTTTCCAACTATCAGGTGAACTGTAACCCGGGTACCATTTAATCTTGTGTATTTAAAATTAGTTCAATATCCAATCTTCGTTTAAAAATTCGTAAAAATCATTTAATATCACCAAAAATCATCTAATTTGTACTTTCTAAAACCCCTACAATACAATAAATTTCAGGCTAATTAAAATGATACCATCACAGAGTTATCTTTCCAATTATATTTTGACTTTTAAAAGCTTATGAACATGCCACTAAGTACTCGACACTTGTTTATTAGGGCCTAAGTGGTATTTGTGACAACAGGTGAATTTGCTTCTGGTGAGCTTAATGGACATCAGTCTATGTGTACTTTGTGCTCTGCCATTCTCAACATAATTATGATACGGTCATAATTACAATTATTAAGCCACACCAATTTCATTTTCTGTTCTTTGGAGTCTTGATAAAATAAAATAGCCTCTTGAATGAGGTGAAAGATGTTTTGTTTAAAATTTCAAAACTTAAAAAATTGGGGACTTAAATAAGCTTTTGTACAGCACAACCAAGTACTTCTGTTTTTTATAGAGATCACCACCGCATCCTCCCCGCTCCCCCCCCCCCCGATATTGCTTACAGATGTTCCCAAAGAACAGAAAATCAAATTAGTATGGCCTTATTTTAGTTTATTTTTACCTTGTGCTCTGCCATTCTCTATGTATAAGGCTGCCATATTCAATGCAGTCAAATAGTAAAAGGCATATTCTGGATACTTGTCTTCTCTGAAACACAAATCACATTTGTTGGACATATATGAATAAGAGACAAGGGTGGCTATTGTGGTATTGTGGTATAGGCCAGAAGATGGCCTGGATTGTTTATGACAATCAAAAGGACTAATTTAAAACAGCCATCTTACATTTCACTCCATCCCAGAATTCCATCTAGGATCAAAGCCTTTTATTAATCAAAGTAAGTAACTCTATTAACACAAAGAACTCAAGAAGGCTTTAGACCACTATTCCTTAATAATATTATGAATAAGTTATACAGGTCACAATTCTATGGAATACAATTACTGCTTTTTACTGAGCGACGTTTCGACTAGGCTTCTCTAGTCATTATCAAGCTATGATAAAAAATGAAAATATGACAGGACAATATATACATGTACACCACAATGCTAAGTTAATGTCATATTTTCATTTTTTATCATAGCTTGATAATGACTAGAGAAGCCTAGTCGAAACGTCGCTCAGTAAAAAGCAGTAATTGTATTCCATAGAATTGTGACCTGTATACTCTAGTTCAATTACTAAATGCCATTGAAACAGTTTATGAATAAGTTGGTTTAGTAATGGAGTATATGACACTATTAAGGGACAACTATCTCACTTTGTTAAACACACGAGAGACACATACCAGTCATCCCCCACTTCTGATTTCACAGACATTATAGTCCAAATCTTGAGTATCAAATAATTAAACTATTTGATACTAACCCACTTGGGTGCCATGTCGAATTACACTGCGTTATACATTCAAAAGCCTTATGATATTCATGGAATCAATGACAAATCTAATTTGGGCTCCCCAACCCTCTTTTACTTTGATGGACATATATGTATCCAATACTTGACAAAATATGTGAATGACAGACAAACAGAAAGAGTTATAGAAGCATTAAAATGTTGGGGTACAAGAATAATAAAAATTTTCTTACATTTTGGTGTAAAATTCTAAAGCTTTCTCCAGATCATTTGACTTCACTGCCATATCACACATTTTTCTTAACATTTCTGCTCCATCCTCACCGTCGGGTGATAATTTGTCCTGAAAACAAAAACCAATATAAATAAAATCAGATGTTTTTCAATTTTCTTTTTATGTTTTATATATGCCTATAAAACAAGAAATGAGACACTGGTTACAGACACTGTCTAGCATGAAATTCGACTTTGTATCGCCAGACAGTGTTCTATAAGGGAAATTTTGCCTGGACAGGGGCGCTACTTTCTACTCTTATTTCAAATTCCAACTGTCATGTGATCCTTTACGCCAATTATGTACACGGACCATCGTTTTTTTCGTCCCGTTTCCAACGACTAGGCGCGTTCCTGCACCACCGATAAGGGGAAAGTAAGTTGTAAACCTGCCAACACCAGGATCGAACCTGGGACCTCCAGGATAGCAAGCCAGTGCCTTAACTCACTTACCCACCCACAGAAAATCGGTTATCTCTCAACGTAATATGCTTTATCCATAGACTAATATTTTTTCAACAAAGATACATCATCATCCCACAAAATAACGTCTAGTCATTTTAACTCACCCGGTAACCATCGGCAATAACCATTTTAGATATTCTCTGTAATATAAAAATATATCACTAATAGAATAAAAATATGATCATCCTATTGAATTTGATTTTTTTTTTGGTAACATTCTACGAAAATGAAATGAACTGGGGTTTAACGTCCTCTGACTGTGCTATAAGGGACAGTGATGCAATGACCTAAAGGACCATGGGTTTTTGTCCTATCCGAATGACTATACCTTGTGCCCCTTCCGGGCCCTTTGTCCTGCACAATAGAAAAGGGGGAACCTTGCCAGAAAATCTATATTGACTTTCTCGACCAGCACCGGGATCAAAATGAAATGAAATGGGGTTTAACGTCCTACTGTTCTGCTCCTATGCTGGGCAACTGCCAAGGGATCTTTTACGTGCATTCTAATGTATATACGGGACCTCTGTTTTTCGTCTCATCCAAAGGACTAGACAGCTGTCCTTGTCAAGCCCTCCGTCCTGCATCACTGACAAGGGGGAACCACGCCGGAAAATCTGGATGAACTTTCTCGGCCAATGCAAGGATCGAACACTTGAACCTCCCGGCTAGCGAGCCAGCGTCTTACCAACTTAGCCACGTGATCCCCACCACCGGAATCGAACACGGAGCTACTAACAAATATAAATTAAAAGAATCCATAAGTAATTGTAGCCTATTGATTGATCACGAGTTGGTAGATGTTTCTACTGGAATGAATATCCCTAATTATCAGATCTTCACCAAATTCGATAGGAATCATCCTCATAATGATTGCTACAAATCCAATAAGTTTGTGTCCATATTTCAGACAAAAGTTATCAAATTTTCACCGGATTCATTAGGGATCATCTTCCCAATGATATAGACACACACAATATTAATCAAAAGAATCCATAAAGAATTGTAGCCTTTAAAGAAAGGATGAGCCAAATGTAAAAAGACATATGGGTGGAGAGAGAGGGAAGAATGGGATTTAACGTCCACTCAATACAAAACTAGGTCATTTTGGGACTAACATTATTATTTCAATAATTCGCTTGCACGTAAGGGTGTTTAGCAGTGGGAGGAAAGCGGAGAAAACCCATGAGGCTGGAAAGGCGACCTTACTCCTTGTCACGTACAACCTGGGAATCGAAACCACGCCAGTTGACTCAAAGACAGATCTTATGACACAACCACTCGGCCATCCACCCCCCCCCCTCCCCACAGACCTATGGATGGAATACAAATGTTATGTGTGGGGCGTATAAAAACCAAAATTAATCAGATTAATATTACTGATTGATGATGTTTTATTTTGCACATCATTTTATAAGTAAGTTTATTACCTGTACAATGGGACTTGGTACATTATCAAATGATAAAGTTCTAAAACCATTAGGTAAAAGCCTTATCTGTTTCTCCTAAAATTATATAAAAGAATTTCTTGATAAAAATAAAACCAATCTGATTAAAATACAGATCTATATTTTGTTCATTCATAACTTTGCTAGGTATAAGCTTCGTCTACACTAGGCTTGAAAAAGCCGGCTTTTTAAAAACCCGTTTTTTTCAAAACCCGGCTTTTTCAAGTGTAGCGTCTACACTGACTGAACGGAAAAAGACGATGAACACCGACCTTCGTTATTTGTGGAACTTCCGGTTTATTTATTACGCCATCGGCTTCAGTCAATTTTGCAGAGATAATAATATAATAATAATGATTACTTTGGTTACTTTGGTGCAATTATATATCCAGCTTATGGAATATAGCAGATCGCTGACAGACTTACGGAAGAGGGCGAGAAAACGACGTGCAAGACGATTGCGATTGTATATCCGTCGAAGACACTTTCGACTATTTTAGGTTAGGCATGTTGAAATTAAATAGACTAGGCTATAGATGGATTTGAGATTTACCGCAATTTCTTAGAACCGGAAGCAATGCCAATGTTATGAATGTACGGAAGCTCGGGACGAATGACATCCGGGTACTTGATAAATCCCGGATTTACCGTCTACACACATAAAATTGCCGTTTTTTTAAAAAAGCCGGCTTTTTGATTTTGAAAAATCCATCAATAATTGCCGGATTTTAAAAAGCCGGCTTTTACGATTGAGAAATTGAAAAAGCCGGCTTTTAGGAAAAAAACGGGATTTAAAAGGCTAGTGTAGACGGTGAATGCTGCTAGTGTAGACGTAGCTATAATCAAATTTGATTGACATTCTTAATATATTCATTTTGCATATATGTGTACACCGAAGCAAATTGTCCTAGTCACATATAGGCCACTCAAACATAATTTAGAGTCAATATTAAATATGACATTAATAATTTAATCCAATAAAGATCAATGCGGTTAGAACTTTGTAGCTTTTGACTAATAATACAGAAATAAAATGGGGCTTAACGTTCTAGTGTTCTACACTGACTGGGCTAATGGAGATGGGCATATGCCATACAGTGTGCTATGAGGGAAATTGCGCCAAGACAGCAGCACTACGGCCTTTCTAATATCCAATTCCAACTGCCAAGGGTCGGAAAAAATCCATATGAATATTCACGTTCGGCACCGGGTATGAACTCGGAAACTCCATGTTACCGAGCCAATGTCTTACTCACTGAGCCACTCCCAGACATGATTCAACAGTCTGCCTGTATTTGTTTCAATATGATTGAGATATTTATATATTCGATAACAAAAAAAAATGAGAATTCATTTCTTTCATACTTACATTATTGTCTAGAAACTCTTCAGCCTTTGACCAATCTAATCGTACATTACAGAAATACATTAAATCACGGATTATAGATCTATTAAAATTAAATGTCTGCAATCCCATTTGTTCATGACATATTTTTGAGAACTGAAAATATAATAAAACACCCATGACTTCAAGACACTAGTTTAATTATATTCTAGATCAGCACATCGCAAACGTCGTAATAAAGATACGAAAGTTATTAAAGAGGTTTCAGTAGTCATGTAACGACACAATAAAGATGCTTCAGTCATTTGACGTCAAAATCTTCACTCGTGTAACATCCTTATAAAGAGGCTGCAGTCATTTAATATGCTGTTATATAACATGCTAATAAAAATACTTTAATACATTTAAGGTCACAATAAAGATGCTTCAGGCATTTAACTTCATAAAAAAGAAGTTTCAGTTATTTAGCATCACAATAAAGATTCTTCCATCATTTTGCATCATAATAAAGATTAATCAGTCTTTTAACATCAGAATAAAGATCTCATACCAGTCCACAAAAGAAAGACACATACAAGTCGCCTCCTACTTCCGATTTCCCAGGCATAGTTCCAATATAAATAAACTATTTGGTACCTAAATATATTAAACCCCTTGGGTGCCATGTTGAATTACATAGTATTTTAATGTTAAAAAACCTAACTACTTAATGGAATCTACGACAAATCTAAATTTTTATTTTTCTAATATTTCGGTCATTTAACATCCTAATAAAGATGCTTTAGTTATTAAACTTCCTAATAAATGAAATGAAATGAAATGGGGTTTAACGTCCTATTGTTCTGCTCCTAAGCTGGGCTAATGAAGACGGGCATACGCCATACAGTGTGCTATGAGGGAAATTTTGCCCGGACAGCGGCACTACGGCCTACTCTTATATCGAATTCCAACTGCCAAGGGATCTTTTACGTGCACGCCAATGTGTACACGGGACCTCGGTTTTTCGTCCCATCCGAACGACTAGACAGCTTTCCTTGTCAGCCCCTCCGTCCTGCATCACTGACAAGGGAGAACCACGCCGGAAAATCTGGATGAACTTTCTCGGCCAATGCAGGGATCGAACACCCGACCTCCAGGCTAGCGTCTTACCCACTTAGCCACGTGATCCCCAAACTTCCTAATAAAGAGAGAGAGAGAAATGGTGTTTAACGTCCACTCGACACAAACTAGGTCATTTTGGGACTAACATATGGTTTAATTTTATTTCAATAATTCGCTTGCGCGTAGGGGTCTTTAGCAGTGGGAGGAAACCGGAGGACCCGGAGAAGACTCACGAGGTTCGACAGACGACCCTACTCCTTGCCACGTACAACCGGGAATTCTAAACCACGCCAGTTGACTCAATGACAGACTTTATGATACAGCGCGCGCACGCTAACCATTCAGCCATCCACCCCCTCCTTCCTAATAAAAATACTTTGGTCATTTAAGGTAATAATGAATATGCTGCAGTCATTAAATATCATAATAAAGATAATTCAGTCATTTAGCATCACAATAAAGATTCTTCAGTCACTTGGCGTCATAAAGACGATGCTTCAGTCGTGCAAAAACTATAAATAATGTACCTTAAGAGCATTTTCCCAATCATGCTCGGCTTGTAATTTATTTATGAAGACATCTTGTACATTAGAAAGTTGAAAGGGATGTAAAGTTTTATCTGAAACTAAAACAATTCATAATGATTAATATGTATATCTTTAAACAATGGAGGTCATGGGTGGGGGTTGAAATGATCCTTTCATACACAGTAGAATCTGTATTCAGCAGCCACTCAAGGCAATTTTGATGACTGACCTCTTAATTGGAGTGACCACTTAATTGGAGTGACCTCTTAATAAAATCTCAGCGTTTGCTAGTGCCGATATCTAGTAAAATTTTACACATTGGTAAATTTCATTGTCACCAAAACTAACTACAGTGCACTCTGTCACATCCGACCTCTGATCACTCCGGCACTCTGTTACATCCGACATCATTTTCATGTCCCGATTTATTTCCTTATTACTTCAGCAAAAAAATCTTTGGGTAATTCGACCTCTCTACGTTCCAGATTACGACATCAATCAGCCGTCCCGTCATACGATTTCCATTGCATCGACACCGTATAATCCGGCCTTCAATCGGTGGGTGTGAAGCAAACACTTACCGATCAATTATCCGTGACATTAAAACTGGATGGGTTTGAAGCCACAAAAGATCAACAAGCAATCACCAGTCAATTATCTGTGAGATTAAAACTCACTACCGTGGGTCTTTGATAATTTTAATCTCTTGTACGACAGTTGTGACAAATACTCAAGAATATCCACCAATTTTCCCCCGAATTCACAGTCGTAAAAATATTCCTAGCACCTGTTGGAAACATTCGTTGCGCATGCCGATTGAACCTGAATAACCTATAAATTGGTAACCCTACGGATCTCTTCGAACCGTGTGAACCTGGGATGCTCGAGTCACAGTACGGAACGTCCCGAATTTCTGTCAGTCCCGACGACGGAGGTGGTGTGAGTAGAATTGTGACGTAATTAAACACGACGAACAGGTTTCGGCTGCATGGTTGGATGAGATATATCCAGTCGACGCATGCGTTGTAGCCCGAACTACCCCTGTTCACTCGATTGTCGCTACTTTTGGGACTGAGAGAATTCAATTCCGGAATGTTCAATCGAGTACGCCCATTATCAATGAACACGTGATAGCAAAGACAAGAGTGCGATCAACTGAAGATGGCGAAGAAGATAAATTAACGACAGACTTGATCTATTCAAAATGCCTACGCATGTTAAATGAAATAAAAATTAATGTAATAAAATTTTGAATGTACAGAAAGGTTTATCATTTTTAAAGGGAATAACATTCTGGTTATTCGAAGTTCTATGTTCAAAGCTACATTTTAATAATATTTCCGGTTTTCGAAGTTACAATATTTCCGGTTTTAAGAAAACTGGGTATTCCGACATATTGTAACGATCCCGTACGATGTCGGATGTGACAGAGTGCACTGTATTGGAACAAAAATCGTACTGACACAATTCTATGATACAAATTCTGTAAATGTGTCAATTTGTCCCCACATTAATACTAGTGTCAACTTTTGTTATGTATTTGATAATCTTTTTTTCTTTTTGTGAAGAAAATCCATGCATTATTTTTTCTTTATCAAACATTGCAGAATTTTTCAGGGGATGTAACTCCGTGAAATTTTATATATGGGGTGCTGAAACCTGTTTTAGCAACCATATGCCATTTGACAAAATGACAGACCTTATGACCTAAGTGTTAGATCTCTCAAACACCAAAACCCAAGTTTCATTAACAGAACTAAACTGACGTGGGGTGTATAAGAACCAAACTTACAGTATTGAACAGCATCTGCGAAACCACTTGCTGCCAGGATATGTAATCCTAAAGCTGTACCCATTTCTTTTGATAATCCAATTTCCTATCATGAAAAAAACAAACAAAAACATTGGTTACAAAAATGGAAATGTGAACAAGTGTCATAACACTGGACCTCCAGGTTAGCAAGCCAAAGTGTTACCCACTGAGCCAATGCGGCAACAACATAAGAAAGATGGCCAACTCAATTTTGATAGGGTTCTTCCTTATAATCAGCTTATTATATCCCAGCGAGTTAGAAAACAATCTCAATAACTGACCTTTTGAGCTGCAGGGAAATCCACTCTACAAAAACCAGGTCATTTTGGGATTAACATATGGTTTAATTAACTCGTTTGCATTAAGGGACTTTTAGCAGCAGCATATGCCATGCATTGTGCTATGAGGGAAATTTTGTCCCGGCAGCGGAGCCACAGCCTACTCTTATATTGAATTCCAACTGCCAGGGGATCTTTTACATGCATGCCAATGTGTACACGGGACCTCGATTTTTCGTATCATATACGAACAAATACACAGCTGTCCTTGTCAAGTCCTCCATCCTGCACCACTGACACCATGCCAGAAAATCCTGATGAACTTTCACGGCCAACACTGTTAGCGAACCAGCTACCTCCAGGCCAGCGTGTCAACGTCTTACCCACTTTGCCAAATCAATGACAGACCGTATGATGTATGTGTTAAAACCTAGCACTAATTTGACCCTTCACATAGGAGAGAGAGAGAGAAATGGGGTTTAGCGTCCACTCGACACAAACTAGGTCATTTCGGGACTAACACATGGTTTAATTTTATTTCAATAATTCGCTTGCGCGTATGGGGTGTTTAACAGTGGGAGGAAACCGGAGGACCCGGAGAAAACCCACGAGGTTGGACAGGCGACCCTACTCCTTGTCACGTACAACCGGGGATTCGAAACCACACCAGTTGACTCAATGACAGACTTTATGATACAGCGTGCGCACGCTAACCATTCAGCCATCCAACCCGCCCCCTTCACATAGGATTTGTTCAACTTTTAATATGGTTTCATTAAGAGAAACGTTTAGGATTTACCGTAGATATTTTTTCTATTGATTCCGTATCTTCCCCCATTGATGTCAAGGCTGGTGTGAAAAATGTAAGTAATATGTTGATCAGTTCAGTATTATCTAGACCAGGTGAATTTTTTATTTTCTTCATAGTTTCAATTAATTCTGTAAAATAAAATTTGCATTTGTGAAGATGTATCAACAAAAATGTGGAAATAGGCTAAAGATATAAAAAGAAAATTAGTGTACATGGAACCTCGTCTTTTTTTGTCTCACCAGAACAACTAGAAACAATTCTTTGTCAGGCCCTCATTACCCGCCCCACTGACAAGGGAAACCCATGCAGTAAAGTCCTGCTTAGAGAGCCAGCACCTTACTCACTGAACCACTGCCATTCCGATTTATATTCTTCTACATCCCAAAAATTTCTCTTTAAAGTGAAGTCCCTGCAATAATGATCCCGCTACAATCAGGTGTCACCTATAGATATAGCGAAGACCTAATAAAATTATTATAACTAACTTACTTTCTTTATTGTTTTGGTTTCGATATTGAACAAGAGCTGGTATATAACAATGGGGTGGTACGGGAATACCCTACAATAAAACCAAATATTGAATAAGAGCTGATGTATACAAGAATATCCCACAATAAATTTCATACACATTCAAGCAAAAAACACAACACAGTTTATATGGAAATACAATCACTGGTTTATAAGTATAGCACGACGTTTCGACAAGTATTCTCTTATCGTTATCATTTGTGCTTGATAACGATAAGAGAATACTTGTCGAAACGTCGTGCTATACTTATAAACCAGTGATTGTATTTTCATATAAACTGTGTTGTGTTTTTAATGTGTTCAATCGCTAAATGCCACTCAAGGATTATACACATTCAAGCAATAGATTGGGTTGGGTTTTTAAAATGGAAATGTTAATTAATTCTCCATGTGCTTACCTCATCTGCACATTTCTGTAGAATATCACAGGCATAATCTGAAATAAAATATTACAACTATTAAAATCTAACAATATACAGAGATCTACTATAGAATGGTGCATCTTTTAATATAGTCTTAGAAATGAAATGTGGTTTAACATCCTACTGTTCTGCTCTGAACTGGGCTAATGAAGACGGGTATACACCATACAGTGCGCTATGAGGGATAATTCTTGGATTCCAAGATTTACTGACATTTTCTGTGTCAAATAAGGACTGGTTAACAATTCACTTTAACAATCCTCAGCCTCCTGGTTAGACAGTCAGTGTCTTGCTCTCTGAGCCATGGTGGCCCCGAGTGATTACAGAACCAATCCATAATCATTTGAAACCACATAAATCTCGGTCAATATGCTACTGGCTCACTAAACAGTTTGATTGTCAATCATTTTAACAATCCACAGTCTAATAGTTAATGAGCTAGTGCCTTGCTGTCTGAGCCATGGTTAATGAGCTAGCGCCATGGTTCCCCCGGTTGTTGTCGGAACCAATCCATAATCACGTAGAGTCACCATGACTCAGTTAATATGCTACTGACTCACTAACCAGTTTGATTGTCAAGTATCGTTGCTATGATAATGAAAAAGCTACACTTCATCTTGTCAAACCTTCAAACACACATAACTTTGCTCAGAATAAAGTAATTTGAATGAAATTTTCAATATGGTAATTTGGGTGCTTTGCTGCTTTAAACTCTACATTTGTTGTTTTCAACAACTCTACATTTGTCGTTTTCAACAACTCTACATTTGTTGTTTTCAACAACTCTATATTTGCTGTTTTCAACTCTATATTTGTTGCTTTCATTTTCAACTACTCTATATTTGTTGCTTTCAACTCTATATTTGCTGCTTTCAACAACTCTATATTTGTTGCTTTCAACAACTCTATATTTGTTGCTTTCAACAACTCTATATTTGCTGTTTTCAACAACTCTATATTTGCTGTTATTTAAGAAATAAAGAAATGCTATATACCTGGATTTTCCAAAATGAAAGCATTTTTGGCTACGTCTCTTACATCCTCTTTTAAATCATTCACCATTTCATAGACTTTATCTACAGGCTGTAAAAAGAAATTTAAGGTTAAATCAACATAATACTTTTAGAGCTCACACAAATTATCAAATTCATTTAAATTTCAAGGTTATTTTGGGGGTATTCCTTATCAGATGTCAATTAAAACTTATTTTACATAATGCAATTTGACCAGTTTTGTCAGTAGAATGTATATGCCATGCAGTGTGCTATGACGGAAATTTTGCCTTATCTACATCAAATTCTAAACTCAACTGTAAAGATTTTTTTTTTTTTTTTTTTTTATGACTAGATGCGGTTCCTTGCCAGGCTCTCAGTCCTGTACCACGGACATGTGGAACCCAAACAAGCTAAAATATCCAGAGGAACTTTCTCAGCAAAAACCAGGATCAAACCTGAGACAACCTTGGCGGGCCTTTTGGAAATAAGTCCAACGCCAGACATGTAATACAAGTGGCACAAAGTATTCCAATCAATCGTTAACTGATTATGTGGATGCAGGGTCTAATCACTGCTTGTGTTCTCTTCTTTTCTCCTTGTGGACAGTTTATCACCGAAATCAGCTGCTCACTCGAAACCACACGGTCTTACTTGACCTAGTCGAATTGTTATTGTAGGCACATGATTCAAGGTATTTTATCTTTTTTGAACCAGTAGAAGAGAGATATATATATATATATATATATATTAGCAATAAAGTTGTATTAGGAAAGAAAAATAGTTTTTACGAGTACTTTCTGTTTTATTAAGCTTCTTCAGGCAAACTTTAACAATTCGTGTTTTCAATGTCAAAGACTGGATAATATTGAGTTAAAGACTTAGCTACTTTAAATATGTCAACACTTACTCGATTATTTGCGGCAAGGAAAAGCAGAAAGTCCCTGGAAATGTAATGTTGTTGACGTGGATTCACTGAATTCAATGTTTTATCTACAATCTGGTGAGCAACATCATCATATCCCAGCGCCAATATTTCATTCAGTTGATTTATAGCTGTCTGATTCATAAAACCCATTCTTCCTAACATTTCATATAACTGAAACAAACAAAACACTTCATAATATAATGTCCGCATTTATAAAGCATTTAATGCATCAAAAGTGTATGCTCTAAGCGTGGTAATAAGTCAATAGTTACTGTTGATAATACACCATAAACATTACATGTTTTAAACTAAGCAATCGATTCTGAACACTTCATCACAGCTGATAAGTTATTCCACAATTAGGTTATCTATTCAACACCACTTGTACAAGCTAATTTTCATCTGAAAATACATTTCTGAAGCCCAGGAAAAATTAAATCATGACCTCAAATTGTACAATCTGGAGAAAATTCGCAAAGTTATACAAGAGAAAAAATTGAAAATCATGACAAAAAAAATTTTCACCTCCTCATTGAGATCTGTATATCCATTTTTTGTTAACAAAATTAAAAGAGAAATAACTTGATTTGGAGACATCGACACTCCTTGAGCTTCTTTTAAAACCTGAAATAAAATATCCAAAAATATAAACTTTAAAAAGATATTTTAATAAATAGAAAGATAGAGAAATGGGGTTTAACGTCCACTCAACACAAACTAGGTCATTTCTGGACTAACATATGGTTCAATTTTATTTCAATAATTAGCTTGCGCGTAGGGGTTTTTAGCAGTGGAGGAAACCGGAGGACTCGTAGAAAACCCACGAGGTTGGACAGGCGACCCTACTTCTTGTCACGTAAAACCGGGAAATCGAAACCACACCTGTTGACTCAATGACATAACTTACGATACAGCGAGCACGCTCTAACCATTTGGCCATCCAACCCCACTTAGTAAGAAAACAATGGATAAAGCAGTGACTCAACAGGTCACTTTCAATCTCAGATTACAAATTAAGACTACAATTTGGTTTTTTTTTTTCATCAACAGTGTTTTCAAACAGATGGTGTGCTATTTATAGTACATGTATCAATTGATTTCACTAATACACTTTCACATGAAGGTCTTTAGCAGATAGGAAAGCGGTGGAGACCTGGAAAAAAACCCCATGAGGTAAAGCAGGTGACAAGCCTAAGTTGAAAACCATGACACTTGAATAATTGATAGGCACTACACCAATAAGCCACCAATCCATATCATCATTAGATAGTGCAATTGGATCGTATAGCCAACATATCAGAACATTGCTTTCCGTGGACCAGTTTTTTCTCACTTCATTATGAAATGAAATGAAATGGGGTTTAACGTCCTACTGTTCTGCTCCTAACCTGGGCTAATGAAGACGGGCATACGCCATACAGTGTGCTATGAGGGAAATTTTGCCCGGACAGCGACACTACGGCCTACTCTTATATCGAATTCCAACTGCCAAGGGATCTTTTACGTGCACGCCAATGTGTACACGGGACCTCGGTTTTCCGTCCCATCCGAACGACTAGACACCTTTCCTTGCCAGCCCCTCCATCCTGCATCACTGACAAGGGAGAACCACGCCGGAAAATCTGGATGAACTTTCTCGGCCAATGCAGGGATCGAACACCCGACCTCCAGGCTAGCGAGCTAGCGTCTTACCCACTTAGCCACGTGATCCACCACTTCATTATGATCTAAAGTGCATGCATTACACCACTAAGCTACAAACCCCATCATCATTAGATAGTGCGATTACCCAACATACCACAACATTGCTTTCCTTCAACCATTTTTTTCTCTCACTTCATTACGCATAAAAAATAGAGCTTTGTCTTTTTTGGACTATCATGTGGTTCAGTCTTATTTCATTAATTCACTAGCCCACAAGGTTGGACAGGCGACCCTACTCCTCATCACGTACAAATTGGGAATCGAAACCATGCCACTTGATTCAATGACAGATCTTATGATTTAAAGCCTACACGTTAAACCACTGGGCAACCCCAAACCTCTGTAATTCAACGCCTGTCTGTATAAATACTGATACAAGCATCTTATTTTACTGTTCTTGTATCAACCACAGTTTACTGAAGGACTTCCAAATTTACCTCTCTTACGCCATCAAAATCTTTGAGTTCGATTAAACCACGCAATAAAGCCTCATAAGCTGCTCCGCTTACTTCTAATCCCACCTCTCTGAAACAAATAATCAAAAAAATGAAATGAAATCGGGTTTAACTTTACTGTCCTACTCCTACTGGGCTAATGAAGGTTATACAGTGTGCTATCAGGGAAATTTTGCCCGGACAGCAGCACTGCGGCCTACTCTTATATATCGAATTTGAACTGCCAATGCATTTTTTATGTGCACCCCACTGTGAACATGGGACCTTGATTTTTTGTCCATCCGAATGACTAGACAGCTGTCTCTTTCCTTGTCAGGTCCTCTGTCCTGCACCACTGAAAAGGGGAAACCACTCCGGAAAATCCTAATGAACTATCTCGACCAAAATCAGAATCAAACTCGCGACCTTCAGGCTAGCGAGCCAGTATCTTACTCACTTAGCCAATGTGGCTCCCACAAATAAACGACAATGTGATATTATCTCTCGTCAACACATTACCCTGGACTCGACAAAGTGAAATGTTGTTTAATGTCCTACTTTTCTGCACCGACTGGGCTAATGAAGATGGGGGCTTGACAATAGAGACATGTTTTGTCAATTGTACGGAATACAAGTTACTTTCCGGAAAAGTTTGTCTCGTGTTCATAAAGTAAAGAATTAATCCAAAGAACAGAACTGATTATTTCTAAATACTCTTGATGCGTGAGGGAAAAAAAAGGATTTCAAGTGATCTTCCTGCATGGAAATTTTAGAATGCCACATTGGGGCCAATACATTTGTTTTAGGCAAGTAACTTCTGTCATCTGTTTGGACGAGTAGGTAAATATTAGTGTTGAGCCTTGAGACAGAACTAAGCCCCAAGGTAGTGTTTTCATCTACCCATATTCCAAATGGTTACTTTGAAGAATTTTTTTTTTAATATTGCTAGTCATGGATTCCAATACTTATTTCCCTTCAGATGGATCTGAGATACCTTTTTCTTTTTGATACAGAAATGGAACCAGATCCTCAGAGGTCAAAGAGATCAGAATCTGTTTTCTTTCAAGATAATATAAAGCTGTAAAATCTAGATTAATTTACCTCATAATATTAAGGACATTTTTAGCACTTTCTGGATCACTGAAAGCATAAGATAATAAACTCAAATAAAGGTTCCGAGACAAGGAAATATACATACAGGTGTAGTAATAATCAGTCACCATTTCCAAATAATGGTTGATCAAATTTCATAAAGTAAAGTTCTTGACATGATCATCTGAAACTGGCGAGTTTAATTCATGGTTTCACTATCTTGTATTGAGAACTTGGTTGCAATTCAAAAATATTTTTAATATATAGTCGAGCATCCCAAGTGATAAAATAAAAGACCCTCTATTACAGGAGTTTTCTTGGATCTATTTTAGTGAATAAACCTAACTAATTTGGTGTGCAAGGCTCAAAGAACCATTTATCAAAATTTCTGAGGCTATCAATTCCGAAAAGCCTAATATTCTAAGTAAAAATGCAAGTCCTTTAAATTTTGGCATTTGATTGCTACTTAAACCCACTGGTTCCTAAGTTGGGAAAATTTAAAATAAAATGTGGGTAAATCTTACTTAGCTCGTGTGTGTCCTTTTATAAACGAATGAAAGACACCTGCTGAGATTGGTATGTTTTCATTCTTCATATGGTCCAGTATTTGGCTGTAAAACAAAAAGATAACATGCAATATTAACATATCACATATCGAAATGAAATGGGGTTTAACATCCTACTGTTCTGCACCGACTGGGCTAAGGACAGCGGCATTATAGCCTACTCTTACATTGAATTCTAACAGCCACAGGTTCTTTTACATGCTCACCAATGTGTAGATGTGACCTCAATTTTTCATCGCATCCCCCGAAAACATTAGCACAACCGTAATGCTGCACCTACTTTGTTTCATGGTAAACCACAGGCACCTGTAACGTGGAAAATATTTTAAAAATAAGCTATGACTATTTTCGCCAGGTAGACAATTGAGTCTACGATGTTTTAAAATTATCCATGTGACCCTCTTTAAGCAAGTATTGCCACTGGTTGACGGAATCTAGAGTAGTGAACATTGATCCTAATTATTTTAATCCAACTCGTTTCTGACCTTGGTATTATTATATCTACTGAAAGGGATTGGTTTCAGACAAGTTATTTACCCCCCCCCCACGAGTTACAAATCGGAATCAGACCAGTTATTTGATAATCTCGCTTACGAACATGGACGTAACAGACTTTAGACATACTTAGTCATAGCTTGAAGTTATGTTTGAAATGTTTGCCATGTTACAGGCGCCTGTGGGTAAACGATGAAAAAAAAAAATATATATATATAGACAGAGAGATTTAACGTCCACTCTACACAAACCAAGTAATTTTGGGACTAACATTTTTATTTCAATAATTCACTTGCGGGTAGGGGTCTCTAGCAGTGGGAGGAAACCAGAGGACCCGGAGAAAACCCACGAACAGGCGACCCTATTTGTATATTTAGATGAATACTTACGTAGCAGCTTCTATATTACCCTCTTCACAATAACCAGCTATAAATCTTTGATACGTCACCTAAACAGATCAAGGCTAGAGATTAATGGTTAGCAACATAATTTCAGTGAAATGAAATGGGGTTTAATGTCCTACTGTTCTGCTCCTAAACTGGGCTAATGAAGACAGGCTTACGCCATACAGTGTGCTATGAGGGAAATTTTGCCCGAGCAGCGGCATTATGGCCTACTCTTATATCAAATTCCAACTGCCAAGGGATCTTTTACGTGCATTCCAATGTATACACGGGGCCTCCGTCCTGCACCACTGACAAGGGGAAACCAAGTTGGAAAATCCCGATGAACTTTCCCAGTCAATGCAGGGATCGATCATGCAACCTCAAGGCTAGCAAACCAGCAGCAACATAATTAATTGACTGGTTTGTTAAACAACTGTACTAGCCTACAAGTTTTTTGCCTCCATATTATTTTTCTTTCAGGATGTTTGGTATAACGGTTTGACTAAGTGACTGGGTTTGGAAATAACTACTAGCTTGAGGTTTCAGCTTTTCAACGTGAAAGCCACCATATGAATACTGCATGCAAGGAGAGTGAATTGAGTAAATGATGGCGACGATTCTGTCAACAATTAATAAACCAGAGTTCCCATCTGAAATATGTGCCCTATACTAAGTTTAATTAACATCTGATGAAAACTGATCCCCAATCGCTATGTATCTTATTACTGTTTTTCTTGGAGGGGGGGGGGGGACATGAACTTGGCATGTTTGTTCTTTGGACAATTGCACATTGATTGACGAAATTTGATTTTGAATATGTCACAATTCCATGATAGTCAGTTCCTGGTCCATAGTGTGGCGGTACTTGTTTTAATATATTATGAAGCAGCAAATAATTGATAAATCTCGATCTCAATCTTATTTTGATGTCCAACTATAAACTCACTGAATAATGGCCAAATCTCAACAAAGGACCTTATGATCTAAAGAGCATGTGATAGAAGACCCTCCACCACTTAAACCCTCACACTAATTAGGAGAAACAAGACATGATGAAAATAAATATTAAACTTACTCTGTTTGGTTGTAACCCTCTTTCTTGCATTTCTCCTAGTATTTCTGCTGTTGAAAATTTACGTCCATTTTGAAGATATACAGTTAAAAGAACATTGTAGAAGACATGATCTAACTCAATACCTGAAGAAAATCATGGTGAATATAAACAAATGGCTTAACTTCATTTAAATTGAATATTTGAATTTATATGTCTTTTATGTTGGAGATTGAAAGGATTTTACACTGGTGTTGCTCTTGGGATCAAATCACTTATTCTATGTGCAGTTTGTTGTTCTATACAATAAATTTGAAGAACAATTTTGACAAATTGATAGGCAGTTTTGGTATTTTTTAACATTTTCTTGGTTAGAAATTTTTCCACTGCAAATACTTCAAGTCTAAACATTTTACCTCAATTAAATCGAGAGTTATTGTGTTCCAAAGGGTGCGAAGGCCAGGCAGATAAACAACTGCTTAGGTTAAGCATTCAATGTTCATCATTGAACCCTATAAAAACAGTCAGCTAATCACACTGTAAGCTGGGTATCATTTAATATTGTGTATAAAGCATTAATTTCTTTCAAATTCGTTTAATATCACATCTTTGTTTAAAAATTCGTAAAAATCATTTAAAATCACCCAAATTCATATAATTTGTACTTGTGTCCAGTTTAAATCTGGCCGATTAATTTTGATAATGAGTGTCCAATTTATAAGTATTTAATTTCCTGACCACTGTTCATAATTCTTCATTATACATCAATAATCAACTGGCCGGGTTGTTTATTTTTTAACAGTGATCGAGAAATTGGACACTCAATATCAAAATTGAATGGTCAGCTTTAAACTGGACACAAGTATAAATTAGATGAATTTCTGGTGATTTTAAACACTAGTGTAGCGAAAAGCTGAAAATTTTGGCATTTTTATGTTGGCCCTTTATGAAATGAAATGGGGTTTAACGTCCTACTGTTTTGCTCTGAACTGGGCTAATGAAGACGGGCATACGCTATACAGTGTGCTATGAGGGAAATTTTGCCCGGACAGCGGCACTACAGCCTACTCTTATATCGAATTCCAACAGTCAAGTGATCTTTTACGTGCACACCAATGTGTACACGGGACCTCGTCTCATCCAAAGGACTAGACAGTTGTCCTTATTAGGCCCTCCGTTCTGCACAAGGGCAAACCACGTCGGAAAATCCTGATGAACTTTCTCGACCAATGCAGGAATCGAACACCTGACCTCCAGGCTAGCGAGCCAGCGTCTTACCCACCTAGCTACCGTGGCTCCCTTTATGAAAAGGAATAAAAGGTTGAATAATGACATCAAACATACCATATTGTTTAAACTTGGCCCATAATGAATCTGTTAATTCTGCTCTGGCACTTGGTTCCAACTCAAGCATCAAATCACCCGTACATCGCAATAATAACAAGCACTTATCTTTACTGATCTTAAACTCTGAAAAAATAACAAAAAAATAATTTACTGACAGAATGACTATCAATGTTTTATTGTTGACATTTGAAACTTTGTGCTGGAAAGTGTTGATATCAATCAAACACTGAAAAAATACAAATTGGTGCCAGATAAAAGGACTGAGCGAGAAAAAGAGAAATGGGGTTTAACGTCCACTTGACACAAACTTGGTCATTTCTGGACTAACATGTGGTTCAATTTTAGCTCAATAATTCGCTTGTGCGTAGGGGTCTTTAGCAGTGGGAGGAAACCGGAGGATCCACAGAAAACAAATGAGGTTGGACAGACGACCCTACTCTTTGCCACGTACAACTGGGGAATTGAACGCCAGTTGACTCAATGATCGATCTTATGATACAGCTCGCACATGCTTACCATTCGGCCATCCAACTATCCATAAAAGGACTGCCACAAGAGGGATTCTGATTGATGAAGACTGAATTTGTGTCTGACACTGGTGACAGATTCCTTTTTTTCATACTTGAGTACATGTATAAATGAATACTGTATTAAATTTCTTATATTGAGGGGACCCACGGTGGCTGAGTAAGATGCTGATTTGCTAGCCTGGATGTCTTATGTTCGCTTCCAATGCTGGTCGAGAAAGTTATTCCGGTTTTTCTGGAGTGGTTTTTCCTTGTCGGTAGTGCAGGACGGAAGGCCTCACAAGGACAGTTGTCTATTCGTTCTGATGGGACAGAATAAAATATTATTACCTATTTTTTCTGCTTCTACTAAAACCTTGTCATATTGACTTTTAAGCACCCGTTCATATCCATTTGTTAGAATATCTAAGTCATGGCTTAATTTTTCCCAGTAAAGTTCAGATTTCTCTGTAGATTCTTGATATCTAGGCTCTGATTCCGTAACTGCAGCATTCCCCACAACATTTCTAAAACAGACAAAAAAAAAGGCTTAAATTTCATTCCATTTTGTATTCTATAATCCATTGACTACTTTGGCATTTGTCTCACCATGCAAACTTAGCATGATAAGTAGCCACATGGATTATAAATTACAAAGTGGAATAATACTATAGATAATAATAAAAGTTCTTTCAAACTGATATTGTTCCCACTAAAAAAAGTTTATCCCCTTGTGATATGATGTCTATATATTTTATGAGTTTGTGCTTGAAAACGATATTCAGACTCGATAATAATTCAGTTTCAGACAATAATAAATGATGAATAAATAAAGCATTGTTGAAAATATGGGTATATTTAGTATCTCGTTTTAGTATTTACTCATTTGTCATTTTTGTATTATCAATTAGTAGATTACACCATGGACCTTATAAGGTCCATGATTACACGAGATTTCTACAAGAATGTAGTTAAAATTTTAAGATTAAGATGTACTGATGTGTTTGTTTTTAGCTACGATAGGATGCTTTTATAGTTTCACCTGGCAAACTTAATTTCTTTAATAATGCATGTAACATCTTAAAAATAAGTTAATTTATACCATTAGGGCTAATCTAACATAACCAGTTCAATGTAATGAAAATCATTTTCGTTTATCTGCAAATATTGTCAGTAAAGGTAATCAAGTGGTGTTTTTATCAAAATTGATATGGACATTCAATATAACTGTGACTGTACATTCTCGCATATTTTGATTGGCCGTTATACATGACATATATTTAGTCCCACCTTCATGACATATAGACGTCAAACCTATTCTGTCTTAACATGTCTGGCAAAGTCAGCTATTATCACTGATTTAAAAGAGATGGTATTTGTACCAGTGTCAGGTTGGATTACATGCTTATGTTATATGTGGTTGTCAGTCTGCAGAGTATGTCCAGTGCACGCGCGAGTAATTTTTTTCAGAGATCAGTGTACGCAAATTTTCTTTAGATTTGCACGCCAGTGTGGCCTGACATTTTTACCTTGCACGCTACGACTTTACTTTAACCAGTACTAGTTGTCTATCCACATACCGCATTCGATAATAATGATAATCCTCGACATGCAAGGTGCTGGCGCTGCTCGGAGGTTCTGTTCTAAACGAACGCCTCTATTTCAAGGGAGACAACTACCATAACGGTAAATAATGACTGAGTCAGGCAATGATGTATTCTCAACGAACGCACCTTTTTCACAGCAGACAACTACCATAACGCTAAGTAGTGAAGTGACTCAGCGTGGAGTCAAATTCACCCAATTGTGTGGCTAGTAATGTACGCGTGCTGTGGTTACTATTATTTTGAATTTCAGTTGTACTTTTTTTTAAATTACACGCCAGACAGAAATAGCATAATTTATCACGCATGGATTTATCTCCTTCACGTTTAAAGTGTTAGGTTGCACGCCGGAATTTAGTAAGCATTTTCATTGCACGCGCGAGATCCCATCGAAATATCAGACATCCTCTGCAGACTGGTGTGGTTGGATGGGACAGAAATATAATATAACAATAATCAATCATTGTTTTGAAGAAAAAATTGAGTTTTGCTTATTGAAATAATATCGGACCTGCTAGATGGAACTATATATTACCATCTCTTATCTCAAAGCATGCTGGGTCGAGTTACGAGGTTTCTTAATCTTATAATAAACCAACTTCATTGAATATGACATTGACATATCTAGGCAGATCAGAGTAATTAACTATTAAATAATTAATACATTGTATTGTCTAAGTTCTGATTTAGTTCAATGAAACTGTGTCAATATTTACTTTTCATTTTAGCGAAATTGCGATTTGTAAACAAGAGGATAAAGTTTGACCTTTCGGGTGTCAAATGCTGAACGCACGTGTTGCAAGTTTAATACAAACATAATAAATTGGCTTTATTAGGGTGTAAATTAACGCGTCATTTTCACCTGATAACTTGTAAATTATGTTTTGGTATATAATTGCTAAAAACAGGTTTCTTTGTTGTCGTTGCCAAATAGCTGAGACCTCTGTTAACTCTTGCTATTTGCCGAAAAACCGGCACCGTCCGACAAAACTTCACCAAGGCTGCCATTTTACTAGACGTAGCTCCATCTATTCAACTTGCAAGAAAAGGCCCGGGGGCCTTCGCTAATCAATTGACGGTCTTATCAATATGAAGATTTAGGCAGCCCTGTACTGAACTGAACTACAAACATATGATGATTACAATCAACAATAAATGTCTAGAAAGTCAAATTATGGACATAAACTTCGAAAAAAGCATTAAAAAGGTTACTAATTCATAATTATTTCCCTTGGTAAAGGGAGGTAATTACCATTACAAGATGGCTGCAATTTTTTGTTGAGAAATATTATTCTGTTTTAAACAAAAGCTATGATTGAATTATAACCTAAGATAAGAACAATGAATGGAAAAAATAAACCTACGAGAAAAACGAATCAAAATCTACCAGATAATTTCGTGAGGTGGAAAATGTTTCATTTTGAGCACAGAGATTTTGGGGAGATGGGCAGTGAATTTGTCATAAAACATGATAAATTGAAAAGAAAACGATTTTGCATATTGTTTATAATATTTGCTTTCCTGGCATGTATTATTATGGATAGAATTTCTGAGGTAAAATTGAAAAAAAAAAAAAATTTCTTAATTATTTAGTCTAATATAAACCTGTCACTTGCGGCTCCAAATAAACCAGTTATAGAATAGTAGGCCTATTATTTACAGACCTGAATATAATGCAGCCTGCCTAGGCTATATAGCCCCCATATTCATTGAGATGTCACATTCCAGAGACTGATGTCAGGAATGAAAGATTAACGATTTGAACACACATGAAAAACAAAAATTTTACACATTTATAATATCCATATTTCTTTGTTGCACATATACAGGCCACGAAATTTCACGCGAACGATACCAATCGGTTACGTGCGGTCGCGCTAGCTCAAAAACACGCGACCGATTTCCTGGTTACGCAAATTGAAATATCGGTTACGTTAACAAATTTCATTAACAGATTTATTCACATTTGATCAATTTTTATACAGGATGACTTTGTGACACCGGTCTAAATTATTTGTATTATAGCACAAACTCCATTCATTCATTCTTGGCATTTCATTTCTCCATCACCGGTACTTTGACAGATCACGTATTTTGACACCACGTAGGCTATTGACCAGTTGCAAGCACGTTGATTTAAAATTCTTTAAATGATTAGTTATGCCATAAATTTTGAAAGCGTACCTTTGGATTTTCAAACACAAAATGAGAAATGAGCTTGACTATTCAACATGTCGGCTATATTTCCAAAGAATTTACTACACGTGTTCCTTTCAGTTTTCACTATAGCCATACTGTAGTACCAATGACCCGTATGTATGTCGTCAACTTTTACCCCCTCCCCCCCCGGCATCGCTCAAGCGATAATGTAAACAATTTTACTCTCCTGTCTATTTTAATATTATTTCATGACATCAAACTATTCTGTTTCCTTTTGAGACTTTGTGTATAGAGTGCCGGGGTTTATAATAAATACTGTTTGTCAATCAGTCGCTCTTCCTATGACTCTGAGTGAGGCTATCTCATGCTACGTGCTTGGATGAATGATTGCAAGTGACAAGTGTAATATGAAGTACGCATGTAGTCTTCAGTGACCGAAAACAATGTGGTAGCTACCATTCCAGGTTTTTGAAGGTCAAATATGATATAAAAACGAAAATCCATTAGTAATTTTTGGAACCGATTCCCCTCATTATTAAAATGTAGGGATTTAGTGAAGTGGAACATTTTTTTTCTAATGTTTAAATGGGGACACCGTGGGATTAAAGTCATTAACACTTAACCTAATATAATATTAAATATAAAAGAATAAAGTTAGTCAAGTTATTTCTTTAAAAAATACATTCACTGCAAGTGGAAATGAATAATTAGCACCATTTAAATCTGGATAAAACATGAAAACAGCGCAACCATTTTATGTAACCAATTGGTTACGCAATGGTCATCTGGCGTAACCAAAGAAAATGGTTACGCAGAGCATAAACCTGCAACCGTTTTTCTGGTTAAGCCAAGATTTGAAATTTCGTGGCCTGCATATATAATTATTCAATCTTTTAAATTGTTTACCCACCTTCCTACGGGAGCTACATCGCAGATACCAGAGTGAGTATGGATGGATAATTAAGTTTAGGAGCCAGTCAGGCCAAAAATTGTTTGCCTTTCTCTTAGCAAACATTAACTTATGCACCTCAACTTATTTATTGTCTCAATTAATTTTATTTCAGCAAAAACCATTTTACTTGTGGATGATTGCCGTTTTTTTAGCACTTGTATTATTTTATAAACTTTATACCAAAGTTAGTGCAGGTAAGTTTTAATATACTGGGTCTAGCAGGGAAGTATCATTTCTAATGAGATCTAAACTATCTGTGGACTAGTAAGATATGTGTGTAAGCTCCTATATACAGTACCGGTAATCCAAAAGAATTTCAGCTTTTTTCATGAGATTACAAACCTATCCCCCCCCCCTCCTCCTGTTGTAATTAAATAAGTAAAACAGTATTTGGTAATCATTGAATGCTGAACAGTATAAATTGAGGTAATGTTGTTGATTGGTTTCTTTTTACGGAACACATATAATTGAAAATGAAATGATATTTATATAGGGAGCGACGGTGGCTAAGTGGGTAAGACGCTGGAGAGAGAGAGAGAAATGGGGTTTAACGTCCACTCGACACAAACTAGGTCATTTTGGGACTAACATATGGTTTAATTTTATTCAATAATTCGCTTGCGCGTAGGGGTCTTTAGCAGTGGGAGGAAACCGGAGGACCTGGAGAAAACCCACGAGGTTGGAAAGGCTACCCTGCTCCTTGTCATGTACAACCGGGGAATCGAAGCCACGCCAGATGACTCAATGACAGACTTTATGATACAGCGCGCACAGGCTAACCATTCAGTCATCCAGGGTAAGACGCTGGCATTCTACCTTGGAGGTTGTGTTTTCAATCCCTGCATTGGCAGAGCAAGTTCATCAGGATTTTCCAACATGGTATCCCCTTGTCAGTGGTGCAGAACAAAGGGCCTGACAAGAACAGCTGTTTAGTCGATCGGATGGGGCAAAAAACCAAGGTCTCCTTTACACATTGGCATGCATGTAAAAGATCCCTTGGTATTTGGAATTCAATATAAGAGTAGGCCATAGTGTTGCTGCCCAGGCAAAATTTCCCTCATAGCACACTGTATGGCATATGCCCACCTTCGTTAACTTTTCTGCTCCAGCTAGGCAAATCAAGACAGGTAATGAGGACAAGTTTGCCCGGACAGATTTTCTTTTAAGTGTATGCCAAGGTGTACACAGGACCTCAGTTTTTTGTCCCATCTAAATGACTAGACACTGTTCCTTGCCAGGTCCTCCATCCTTATTTCCTTATGCCAAAGGATGCGAATTGGACTACAAGATTGTATTGCAGACATGATATTATTGATGTATGTACCATGATCCTAAAACTATTTATATTTCAGAAATATTTTTAGTTTTGCCAAGTATAGGACTACAAGTACAAACAAAGTATTTATTTGGAAGCATCTCAACACAATTCATGGACATTTCAAAAATCAAAGATGTCATTATTAACGAAGCCATAAGTTTGGTGAGTAGGCATATGTACTGTTGATTGATATTATAGACATCTGTACAGCAGGGTTTTTACTTCAAAATTTTGCTAGTCAGTCAGTTCTTTTAAATTTTGTTTAAAGATACATTATTAGAGATCAGATAAAGAGCTGACAGTTCTCACTACAATAGTTAAAAACTAGATCATGTAAAGGGAATTTGCTGAAAATTTTAGTCAAACTGATCCACTCTGAACTGTGAATTTAGCGATTGAATTTTCGGCCTAGCCTTGTTCATCATTACTAAAGTCGGTACGATAAAAAACATAGTCTTGATTATCCATTTCATGATTTAATAATCAATGAGCGTTGAGCAGCAGATCAGGTTCTAATCCAGTTAATATCACAGGCTAGCGATGACATCGAGAGTTGATTATGGTCTGGATAAGTTAATTAATGTCTTATTAATAATTTAGATAACATTTCAGGCCTAAAGAAAGACCTGCAATAGACAGATTAGCTCTTGCATAATGTATGTTTAACTCAGAAAAACAAGATATATTTTTCAAAACAGTGTTGGGGGGTTGGATGGCTGAATGGTTAGCACGTGCGCGCTGTATCATAAGGCCTGTCATTGAGTCAACTGGCGTTGTTTCGAATCCCCGGTTGTAAGTGACAAGGAGTAGGGTCGCCTGTTCAACCTTGTGGGTTTTCTCCAGGTCCTCCGGTTTCCTCCCACTGATAAAGACCCCTACGCGCAAGCGAATTATTGAAATAAAATTATATCATATGTTAGTCCCGAAATGACCTAATTTGTGTCGAGTGGGCGTTAAACCTCATTTTTCTCTCTCTCTAAACAGTGTTTATGACAATTTTTTTTATAATCCAAATCTTGTATATATTTTTAATTTAATTTGTATTTGTCAAGGTTTAACTAATTTAAAGGTGAAAATCTTTGAAAGTGTTTATTAACTGACTAAAAGTCAATTTCACTGCCAGCCCGAATCGGGTCCTCTTTGATCTATATATCTACGATTACGTACGTAGATATTAAAATAACTACACTAATTTGGATCGAAACGTATTACGTTAAATATTAGATTTCAGTCAAATTTTGATTATTTATATTAAAAGGGATTGTATGATGGATAATGTCAGACTTAGATTAATAAAATACAACACATACTTATGGAAAACAGCTACTAATATATTTAGCTGGCGTGTGGGTGGACGTATTATATCAGACAATTTGTATGCTTGATAACGACCAGTGAATTCTTGTCGAAACGCTGTGTGTATATAATGTAGAAATGTGTTATGTTATAAGATACAGGTTGTTTTGGGTAATTTAAGTTGTTTTAGGTTGTTTTGGGTAAATCCAAGACTGAAAAGCATCTTGTTGACCCCAAATATAAGAAAGCCCTACATTATTTAAAGTAATTCTATTTCAGCTGCTCAATTTAGAGAACGATTTAACAAATCATTATATAGAATAGTGTACCGGTATATATTAGATACTAATGAATTCTTTTTGTTCAATAACTTGGACCAATATCTTATTAATCTTGTTTGACGGTTAATTATAGCTGGAAACATTCTTAATTTGCCTAACATAGGAGCAACATCTCTTAAAATCATTTTGTACTTTATCAATTGCTTTACTTTTATAAAAATCCCAAGCATAATTAAAAACAGATGAAACCATAGTGTTAAATAACTGACAATAATCATTTGAAGTTCAAGCTAAAAGTGCCCTCACTACTTTCTTTCCCTGTGGCACCTATGTTTTTCTGTTTTTGGAATCTACCATTATCACATATAAAAAGATTCAGATATTGTTTGACAATTTCAAGTTGTATTTCATGTGTAAAACAATTTAATTTTGTTGGTAGCCTACCATGGTGAAAGAAAGATAACTAGTTTGGTTTCTTAGCATTTATTTCTAAATTCCAAATTTTACACAAATTGACAAATTTATTTAAAAGTGTTTGTAAAGCTTCTGGATTTGTAGGAAAGAAGGCAAAAAATAATCAATATATAATGATATTTTCTAGGCATATAAAATTTTTATTAGAAATAATAATAGTGATTAAGATAAATAGTCTACCTTTGTACTAATACCATTTCCCCAGTAACAAAAGAACAAACAAAAGAACAGATGCACAATGTACAATATCATTTTTTTATGACTAGCAAAAAGAAAAATCATATTAAATTTATATACCTTTACCATGTAATTAGCTCATTTGCATCACAGATGGTGTACAATATCATTTATATACGACTAGAATGAAATATGAAAGTTAATGCAATACCATTTCGGTGGAAGTGGATGTTAGGTAAAACTATTTCACACACACACAATATAAATATATATCTTTACGAAATCCCCCCCCCCCCTCCCCATAATTCCATACAAAAGTAGATAATGAAAAGGGAATATGTTGAAAATTTCAAATTACTTAACTCTGAGCAGAGTTATGGCCGTTAGAAGAACAGTGTAATCTTGATTGTCATTCCTGCCGTTGTTACGATAATAAACCAAGTCTCGATTATCCATTTTTAAATTAAATTATTAACTGACAATGCATTGAAAATCAAAACCATCCAATAATCTAGAGAGTTGATATTGGCCTTGGCATGGGAATAAATGTCTAACTAATGATTTATATTTATATATCATTTGAGGATAAACATAATACATCTTTAACAAAACAATTGTGATGTCGTGTATTTTTAAAATTGACAAAACTGCTTACTATAGACAGTCATTTGATTTGCATAGATCAATTAATTTGTTTTCAAACAGGTTTAAAAATTTATCCTCAGAATTTTGTGTGATATTGGCTTTATTATTACATCATTAACATGTGCCAATACATCTATCTAGATTATCATATTCTGTTTTTTCTGGTTCATCTCTTGCTCTTCCTTTGAAATCCCCACATATCCCCTCATTTACCCATATCAGAATATTAAACAGAAATCTGTTCTATTTCAAGGAATATATAAAAATGACATATCTTATTGAATTAGTATTATCAGATGGAATATAAACAAAAATAATACTAGAACTAAGTAATACACCATGAATACAGGATTAGGTAACTAAAAAAAACAACATTATTAAACGAAGATACATAATGCAAACTACAGACACATAGTTATTTGGACTGGGTTTGTGTAAAATAGCTAAACCTCCACAAATCAAGTTGCATTTATACTCTCATTACTGGCTTTTAACAAGGTTTCACATAACAGTACAACATCAAAAACAGATATATAAATAACTAGACATGTCCTCGAAAAAGGGTTGATAGTTTTATAAAACCTAATCACACACTTATACATTAATTTCAATAACTAGTAGATTAATGTGTTTTGTTGTCCAGGTTTCTTTTCAAGAATCTTAAAGAAAAAAAGAATTATTAAAATCCGTCAAAAAGTTGCTATGTTATATAGATAAACATTTCAGCGGGGCAAAATTTCCTGGTTTTGTTTTTTTAAATTGCACAGAACCTTTGTTTACAGACCGATTGTGATGAAATCAGGACAACAATATACATTAATCTACTAGATACTGAAATCAATGTAGAAGTACTGGGTGGTATAAAAGCTATCAAAGTTGTTTCGAGGACATGTCTAGTTTGTTTCAAATTTATAGACAAGAAATGGACCAATATAATGGCAGAAACAATATGGTTAACTTTACAAATTATTGATTCTAAGTTCATAACCAAAAATATAGATACTAACGCAGGCTATTTTGATATGTTAACTGAGCTATAGATTATGAACATGTTGGTCATTAGCTATTATCAGTCTATGCGTAAATCAATTATTGGGACTAGAATAATTTTAGACATCGTGTAGATTCTTTAGTGTTAGACACATATTGGATTCTTTAGACGATCATATGATGTAGTGGTTCCTGATGCTGGTTAAATTTTTACAAGAGTGGGGTGGACTGAAAGACATGGTAATTTTTGAGGTATTGTAATGTAGACTATTGTTTAACTGTAGTGATATGACAATAGCATCGGTACCGCTGCAATATACATCCACATTCCTGGGGGTCGGGGGCATGCACCAAAATAAATAATTGCTGTCTTTACGGTATAGGAAATAAATATGCCAAGTTCCAAGATGATCCATTTAGAATTGCAGTCTGCAGACGATAAATATAAACACAAACATTGGGCGTATGTAAAGTTTCAAGGTAATCCATTCAGACGCTAAACACCAAAAAATAGGCGTTTCTCTGCATTCACCAAAAACAATAGGAATCATCCTTATGGTATAAAAAAGAGGTATGCAAAGTTTCAATATGATCTGTAAGGAGTTGCGGCCTGTGGGCGACACACAGGCAGAAACATGCACCAAAATATAATAGAGGTCATCCTTTGGGCATAAGGATCCTTTGGGCATAAGGAATAAGTATGAAATGTTTTCAAAGTGATCCATTAAGAATTGCCGCCTGTGGGTGACACACAGAGAGAAAATGGGCATGGCTCGCCCCTGGGGGTTGGGCATGTACCAAAAATTTTTTGATGATCCTTAGGGTGTAAGGAATAGATATGCAAAGTTTCAAAATGATCCGTTAAGAAATGCAACAATAGACGACAAACAAACAAATGCAAAAAATGGGCATGGCTCTACCCCTGGGAGTCGGGCATCACCAAAAACAATAGGGATGATCCTTAGGGTATAAGGAATAAGTGTGTAAAGTTTCCAGATGATCCGTTAAGAAATGCGGCCTGTAGGCAACACACAGACAGACACATGCGCCAAAATATAATAGAGGTCATCCTTTAGGTACAAGGAATAAGTATGAAAGGTTTTCAAAACGATCCATTTGGAATTGCGGCCTGTATGCGTCACACAGAAAAACAAAGAGAAAATGTGCATGGCTCTGCCCCTGGGGGTTGGGCATGCACCAGGAATAAGTATGCAAAGTTTCAAGATG